ATCCTATGGATTGAATATTATAATGACAACCCATATATGCAACTAACATATAGATTGCATGCATAATATATATATCAACCAATATATATGTATATCGGTGGGGTTCTAGTGCCACTGGAGTACGGTGTCACTCCGATGCCACTGGCATTTTGGGGCACCTCCGGTGCTCCGTTCGAAAAATTGACGGTTCCTACACTCCTAACCCATCCCCTAAACCCCCACCCTACCCCCGCCCCTGCACCCCCGCCCCAACCCCGCCGTAAGCCCCCCACAAAATGTGTGGCTATTATGAACGCATAATAGCCACACATTTTATGGGGGGCTTACGGCGGGGTTGGGGTGGGGGTGCAGGGGTGGGGGTAGGGTGGGAGGTTTAGGGGGTGGGGTAGGGGGTTAGGAATCGTCAATTTTGTGAATGGAGCACCGGAAGTGTCTCAAAATGACAGTGGCACCGTACTCCAGTGGCACTAGAACCCCACCGTATGTGTGTGTGTATAGTTTTTTGTTCCATATATATCATTATGCCCTTCATTGACTTTTTTTCCCAATATAATTCTCAACTTGCATAAAAGAGTGACTAGCTATCTTTGGAACTAGTTGAATAATATTAGGCTGGAGTATCTTTAATATGATGACTTTGATCTCTTGTTTAAAAGGGGTAAGATAGGAAATGAACGAAAATTTGAATGAAAAATCAAGATCGAGATATGTGTATCGCACTTAAAAAGGAATGTAAAATAAAGAGATAAGTGTATACTCCGTATTGTAGAGAAAAAGTTTTGGACACACATGAGCGAATATTTTTTACTATCGGAACTAATTCGACTCAACCTAACATACAAAAATTGAATTTATTACTCACATGTACACTTATATATTGGCCAAAGTGATTAATAGTTTTTTTATGATACTCTTTCTATCCAATTCAAATTGTTTGTTCACGGGCTATTTACATACTTCAGCTTTAACAACTTTTCTTCGCCTATTTTTGGAACTCATTTGATATAATAGCGTACATAGTCATGCCAACTCTTGATTCGTAGAATTTTAGTTGCTCATTTTAAATATATTTTAAATTAAATCTGGTTATATATATACTCCGTGTATGTGTGTGTGTGTGTATATATATATATATAATTTCGTAACAAAACCGAATGGATTTTATAATTTGGGAGCGAAGGAACATAACACTAAACAAGGACATGTATGATCACCCTTATAATGGCTGGGCCCGAGAGAGACCTTTGAGTCTTTGACCCATTACCCAAGCACAAAATTTTAAACTCTTTATTTCTTTTGATAAGGATGAGCCACATCTTCAGGTGGGAACCAGCCGAATAGTCATTTGAAAGAATGTATATTGAACTATAATCACAGACTAGTTACAAAGGTCATGTTCCTCCACTTGATCTGAATAATTTTGATCTAATTGGAATAAGTGTTGATCTGATCTGGTCTGATTTGATTTAAGGCCTCGTTCCGTTTAACTTATTGTTTCTGCTTTTTTCTTATTTTTATTAAAATCAAATCAGATTAGATCAGATCAAATCTAATGAAGAATTATTATGATTGTGATTATTATTATTATTATTATTATTATTATTATTATTATTAAAAATGAAAAAGAATGAACTTTAGAAAGAAGTTAAATAGAAAACTGAGAAAGTAATCCTTAATTATTAGACATTGGAAAAATTATTTTAAAAATAGATTGATAATGTCAATCTAATTCTACTTTTAAAATACATTTTTATTTCTACCTATAATTTGAGTTTCTTAAGTTTTGATCTTTTACTACATTGAGTTGATCAACTTTGATCATGACTTAAATAAAATTAACATTTTACATTCATATACGGAATATATTTTAGTGTAACTGAAATAACTATTATATCTACGGTGTTATATTAATCATAAAAAAAATTTCATAGTACAAAGCACATGTTGATATTTTATAAGGATGTGATATTTTAATAAAAATACTATCTCTTCTCTATATTGATTATCTAATTTTAATTATTTTTTAATGTATATATATGAATCAAATATTTATTCTAATGTATATATGAACTAATTATTAAAATATTAAATCAATATTCTTATTTCATAAAAAAATAATCATAAAATAAAAAATATTATTACATTATAGTAGGAATGATTATTCTAGTATATGAATTAACTCATTTTATTTCATTAAAAAATAATCATAAAATAAAAATATTGAGTATATTATAATATGAATTATCATTACAATTTTCAAATGTTATTATAAAGTCAGATCAAATTATTGATCTGAATTTTAAATCAAATCATAATAAATCAAATGAGATCAGACCAGCTCAAATAAATTCTAGTCAGATCAGATCAGATCCCATAAGATCAGATCAGGTTCAATCAAATCAGATCAGATCTAATCAGATTAGATTAGATCTAATCAAATCAGGCCAAATCAGATAGATCAGATCAAAACTATAAAAAATCAGATCTGGAAAAATAAGTTGAACGGAATGGAGCCTAAATATAGTTATATTTAAAGTTTTTCTGACGTGATTTCAATGAGAAAAAGTAAAAGGATAAGTTGAAGAAAACCTGAAATAATGATGTAGTGTGCACGTGATATTTTAAAGGTCCTACATTAACATATTTACTTTCCATTGAAGTTGTCTCAAACTGAATTCAAGTTCATCTCTTTATTTCCTTTGAGCATGAAGCCAAAGGGGTATAGGTGCACTTTTTAGAGTTCATGAATAAACCACGTAATTTCTGAAGAATTCAGTAATAAAAGTTCACTTTTCCCTTTTTTAAAATAATACTAATGCCCCCACCATAAATTTCGATTGCCTCCATTATCCGTGAGAGTAAAAAATATTTTTTGGGCCTAAAACAACAAGATTGAACTTTTCGTTGATCGAGTTACTTCCTTAATATTAACGTGTAAGCTTTATTGGTCTACAACCACAAGGTTAAACTTTTGGTTAAATGAGTTCATGAAATGGTATTCGGGTCTTGTTGACAAAAAGATCATGAGTCCATGCCTCATCGCTACTTCCTTTTGAAAAATTAATATTCACATGCAAGGAACAATCAAACACAAATCTCGCTTGTTGGAGTCGCGTTGGTTCCTTGACAATAACTTTTCCCAACTTCCACTTGCGAAAAAAGGCCAAAATTAAATTTTCAATTTTTTAAACAAAATTTTGGGGTTGGTAATCTAATTTATTTAATAATAGGTCAAAAATTGAAAAGGATTAACTAAAAAAAGTTAAAACTGGACAAATACTCTGAAACGAAGATAATACATACTAATACACCATATTTAGATAAAATTTAAGACTATTTTTATGTACACTCGGATAGTTGGTCACTACTTGGTCATTTGGTCCACATGAGACCTGATCAAGGTACGGGCCAGGTCGAGACACTACATTATGAGAATTTTCTAGGGTCGAGCCCGGCCTGGCTCGTATAACGGGCCTAACAATAGAAGCCCAAGCCCGGCCCGCATGGATACCCGAGGGCTTTGGGTCGGCCCGGCCTGTCCGAAAAAAACTTTTAAATAATTTAAAAATAATTTTTTTTTAAAAAAAAACAACTTAATACATTAGATATTTGATATAAAAGCTATAATGAGTGAGTTAAAGAAAAATTAATATATAATTGTATTTTGTTTGATATTACTACTATGTATTGAGTGTGAAATATTATTTATTGAAATAGCATAATCAATGTGTGATACGTTGCAAACAATACAGAGTAGTAAAGATATATTTATTTTATTATATATACTTATAATTTATTTTTTCTCTCCATAGAAGTATGGATGTGTGTTTATGATAATTTGAAAGAGTTTATTCTTTATTATTATTATTATTAGTAATGTTGTTATTGTTATTTTATTATAATTATATTAATAATAAATGTTTTAATTTATTCGGCCCAGTCCGGTCCGTGGGCTTGAGCATAAACCTGAGCCCAGCCTTAAAATATTCAGGCCGCCAATTATAAAGCCTAAGCCCGGCTCGTACCCGAAAATATCAAGCTCAAGCCCGCTATTTTATGGGCGGGCTTTTGCGGGCTTCCACGTGGCGCATTTCCCTATGTAACATCAAAAAAAGGAGTAATTTTGTCCCAAGAGCAATATTTCTTTCTGTTCCCAAGAAATTAGCCTAGTAATTACTATCTTGAGTTTCGTATTTTTTTAGTATACTTTTCCAAAATCCATTAAATAAAATAAAATATTTTTATCGCCATTTTTAAAGTCATTTTAAAATATGTAATTTCCATTTTTATTTCTTAATTAATTTATAAATAACATCAAGATAAAAGATACCCCCTCCGTTCTATAAAAGTGTTCATATTTTGACTTTGTTTAAAAATAAAGAAATGTTAAATTGTAGTTGACTTCCAATTTTGCCCTTGATGTGATGGGTAAAAGTAAGATGTGATGGATTGAATATTAGAAAATAAGTATGATGTGATAGGTAGTGTATGAAAAAGTAAGGATAAAAGTAGTTTTTTAATATAAAGTGAAAGTATTTTATTGGAAATAAAAAATGAAAGAGGAAAAGTTATTTACTACCTTGTCAAAAGAAGACATTTTTATACTCCCTCCGTCCCACTTTAGATTACAATATTCCTTTTTTGTAGAAATTAAGGAAGAGTGAAATCAAATTTTTTCCCCCAAATTACCCCCAAGAGTCAATTCCTTGTAAAGTTATTGACTTTGTAATTTTTTTAGGACAAAAATGTGAGAGAATATTGTAATCTATTTCGGGAGGGAGTAGGACATATATAAATGTAGATAAAACCTCTTTATTCAATTTGATTCAAAAAAAAAGTCTAATACATCGAACCAACCAAAGACAAACGCGAAAGAAGTGGCGGAACTTGACCCTTTTTGGAAATCAATGTGGAAGTGCAATGTAGGTAGTGGGGGGCGGATATACTATTCCTCCCTGGCCTGCACACAATATATAAAACGGCAGTGACACCAATCCAAGCCAAAGTAGTTATTATAATTATTGTGTGAACATCATTCATTCCCATCTCCTCTCAATCAATCAAACTTCTTTAATTTATTTGCCTTTCTCAAAATGGAAAACGGCAATCATCATCTTTCTCAGCCCCCCGCCGCCACCAAGCCGTCTAGATTCAACCGCATCTGTGTCTTCTGCGGCAGCAGCGCCGGCAAGAACCCCAGTTACCAACTCGCCGCCCTTCACCTCGCCAACCAGCTGGTCCCTACCTAATATATACTCCTTCCCTTCCTAAAAACTTTTCCTCTTTCTTTTTTTCATCCGTTCCATGATTTTTTAACATACCTATCATATCACATCAAAAGATATTTTTAAAAACTCAATACCGTAATATATATATATATATATATATATATGCTTTATTTCGAGATTTTCATCATCTCTATGAAAATATTAACCATACAATTTTACGCTTTCTTAAACTTTATCTGTACTTCGGATTTTAGTTTAATGCAGTGGTTTTGACGTTTAATTTAAATGTTTTGAAAAAGATATACTCCGTATGTATTTAAATTCATTTTTCAAAGATAATCTATATAATGGAGTACTATAAAAAAATTATCCAAAATAGAAAACACTAGTTGAATGTATTGTTCTAAAACAAATATTATATAAGCAATATAATCATTTGTTTGCGTGTTTTTTATAAAGAAAATTATTTGTTTCTTTCTTTAATTTGTTTGTTTGTAATAAATAAATGACAGGTTGAAAGGAACATAGACTTGGTGTATGGAGGTGGGAGCATTGGCTTGATGGGTCTCGTCTCCCAAGCTGTTCATAATGGGGGCCGCCACGTGTTAGGGTATCATTCTCTTTTTTTCCTTGAGACTTGAGTGATGCCCAAAAATTGTACTTCATTTGTATCCCGCAGTTACATACAAACATTTTGATGCTTTACACTGACAAAAGTGTTGGTGCGTTAACAAAAATTTACACGGACATAAAGTGTTGGTGCATTAATAAAAATTATTCTTACACCAACACAAAATGTTGGTGCAAGCCTGCGGGGTAGAAAGTGGGGTACAAAAACTTGGGGTGCAAATAGCTTTATCCTTTTTCCTTTTATGGAGTATTTAACTCGGAATTTCTTCAAAACTTTTATTTTTTTCGTATAATAATTTTGACCGTTTCACATTTTTATTTGATTTTAAACATTTCTTAGGACTAAAACATAATGACCTTTTCAATATAAGACCATATCTTTTTATTTCTGAATGTAGGACCATTGGTCATTATCTATTAGTTATTATTCAACTAAATGTCCAAAATCACTTGGATAATGAAAATAGGAGTAACTAATTAAATTTAAGTAAATTTTAGTCCTATTAAGTGCAAATTTCACTCCATTAAATTTATATCTCTATTCATTGCATTTCTTCTACAACATATTGTGAGACTTTAAAAATATTGAAAGACACAAAGTGAACGGAAATAAAACATTTTACTCTATTAATCCTTTTTTTTGTTTGGATTTTGGTTTGACAGGGTGATTCCGAAAACACTGATGCCAAGAGAGGTAATAAAATAAGTAAATAAGCATATATATATATATATATATATATATATATATATATATATATATCCAGAGCAATTAACCCTGTTTATTTGGTCTCATATATATAGTCCCTACGGCATGTCACACTTTTGGTCCTGTCCCTTTTATCTTTTTTACAAATTAATTTCCATCCGTATGTTTTTTTTATTGATGGCTTTTTTGGCTTCATTACAATTGTCCTAATTAATAAGGTTAAATTCATAATAATAATAATAATAATAATAATAATAATATCTTGTTTATTAATAATAGTAACAATTAATAAATAATAATAATAATCCATGCAAAAGTAACAGTTAACGGGAGAGACGATTGGAGAAGTGAGAGCCGTTACGGGTATGCATCAAAGGAAGGCAGAAATGGCGAAGCAAGCTGACGCTTTCATTGCCTTGCCCGGTAACCTACCTACCCTCTTTTGCCCCTTTTCTTTTTAACAATAAAAAAACAAATGCGAGTATAATTTATACCACAGATTAAATAAAGTTTTAACAAATAAATAAATATTATAAACATTTAACATTTCATCCGTTTTGGAAAATATTTTTATTTTGACTTCCTTTTGTCAAATTCGACACTATTTGATTACAAATTTGAACATATATAATTTGAAGAAATAATTATTAAAAAAATTATAGAGCATATAAAAGTCCAAAACTATATTATAACATGAATCCAATTCTTAAATATGTCCCTGAGTATTTGTCCAATTTTGTGTTTTTGCAGTCAAACACTTTTTTACATTTGACCAATAATTAAATAAAATATGTATGATATATTAATTAGATGATATAGTTTGTTGAAAATATTTTATAGCATAAATTTAATAAAACTATTTTTGTATCAATATCTGATACCAGTTTGATTTAATTTGGAATCAAAGTTTGACAATTTTGATTAAAAAGTCAAAAGTGAATAAATACTCAGGGACGGAAATAATATATTGGACTTAATAAAAATTAATATACTTTCACAATTTATAGTAAAAAATGATAATAAAAATTAATTACTCCATATATTAAATTTAACGAGTAGTTAAATTAATTAATCTGGAGTACATCTCAAAATTAATAAGTAAATTTAACTAATTACGTAGTATAACTAAATATACTTTCATAGTAAAAAATGATAATAAAAAAAGTAAATTTTTGATTTGATTTACCTGAACAATTGGACGATGGTTGAATTGGGCCAGGTGGGTACGGAACGTTAGAGGAACTACTAGAAGTCATCACATGGGCTCAGTTGGGTATTCATGAGAAACCGGTAAATTACTCTTTCCGTTTCTTCAAATCATTCTCATTTTAATTTTGAGCCAAAATAAAGAAATTATAATTTTGAGTGACTTTATACTCATCTTATTTATACTCATCATATCAGAATTGAAAAATCTACTATAAATATATGTTCTTTATTTCTCTCATCATCAGTCAAAATAGGAATGTATGTGTGTAGGGATGATGTGTTATATATATATATATATATATATATATATATATATATATATATATATATATATATATATATATATATATATATATATATATAATGGATGGTGCATGGATGGATGGCAGGTGGGTCTGCTGAACGTTGATGGGTACTATAATTCACTTCTGTGTTTCATAGACAAAGCTGTGGACGAAGGATTCATCCACCCTTCTGCCCGCCACATTATTGTCTCCGCCCCTACTGCCCACGAACTCATCTCCAAGCTTGAGGTACATGCTATACTTACTCTGCCCGCCCTGCACCCATTTTTTATTATCTCTCCGTTTCAAGAAATATTTGCACTCACTAAAACTTTAGAAATAATGTCCTGTGATGACAAATATTTGCTTGAATAATGAATAATGCATAATCACTAAAAGTAGGGAAGAAAATCACATGTGTTGCTATTTGAGGAAAGTTATTACGAAGTATGTTTTAGTGTTATTTAAGTAAATTTCTCTTCAATAAATCATTCCTTTTTTATTTTTTCCATTTATTCAAAATAATTCCACTTTCTATTCAAACCTACTTTTAACTCTATTTTTTCATAATGTACATATCAATAATATTTTTACTAATAATCTAATTATCACATCTTACTTTTATCTATCATATAAGAAGTAAAATTAGAAAGTCAACCATAAATTTTGGGAGACAAGTAAAAAAGAAAATGACAAGAAAAAAACAAAAAGAACCGGAGGGAGCACTACCTAATTTAAAAGTAATTAGTAATCGTATTTTATTGCAATATGGTGATTATTAGAAAAATAATGAATCATTAAGGCGAGGGTATTTAATGTGATATAATTAAGAGAATGTCTAAAATGACATCAGTTATTTATACATCAGTAGCTGATATTAGTTCGTTTGGGGTACCTACGGTGCTCCGTTTGTAAAAATGACGGTTCTTACCCCCTAACCCACCACCTAAACCCCCCCACACTAGCCCCACCCTAGCCCCGCCCCAGCCCCCCTCCCTATCCTGGCATGCAGTACAATGCCAGGCAGGGGCATTGTACAACATGCCAGGGTAGGGAGAGGGGTGGGGGGGCAAGGGTGGGGCTGGGATGGGGGGTTTAGGGGGAGGGTTAACCGTCGTTTTTACAAATTGAGCACAGTAGATAATTCAAACGAACTGGTGTAAGCAAATGACACCAGTACCACTGGTGTCATATTAGACTTAGTGTATATTTAATTGTGAATCAATGTATATAGGATTATGTTCCAAAGCACAATGAGGCAGCACCAAAGTTAAGATGGGAGATGGAGCAACAACTGGGCTTCACAACAGCCAAATCTGAAATTGCACGTTAATTAAGATCGATCAAGTTACCTCAATTAATTAATCATTACCCGTATAGTAGTGATTATATTTATACTCCCTCCGTCCATGTATGATCTTCCCATTACGCGATACGAGACTTGACCGATTTTATTTTCAATTCAATTTAATTGATTATAGGAGTAAAATTTTAAAATAAAATTTATATAGTAATAAACTACATGAAAAGTTCTACAAAACTAGAGGTGACAAGACTATATTATTTTATGAAATGACTAGTAAAATTGAGTAAATAAAGTGAGTAAAGTTTGACCCCGTGAATAGTGTCTGGGAAGATCTATGGTAGACCGAGAGAGTAATTATTATTATGGGATGAATGTGATAAGTGATTTAATTAATTTGTCTAATTGTTCTTTTATTTATGTAGAGGCTATATAGCTAGGTGTATGCATGCATGTAATAGTGTAATAAACAATATAATACGGAGTAATAATACTCTCTCGTATGTATAATTTAAATTATTTTTAAATTATTTTATAATCTTGGTTAATAGGCCAACTCCGTATAAAATAAATGTGACATGACTATATTATTTTATCAAATATGACACAAAAATAGACCAACAAAATGAATAAAATCTGATCATGCGAATGGTGAACGAGAACTTTATTCTTGGACGGAGGGATTGGAGTATATATATATATATATATATATATATATATATGTATGTATATATATATATATCAAAAAAATATTAGGGATACACCATTTTGTAGTCCAGTTTGCGCACCACTCCAGCATCCACCATTTTATATATAATTATATAAATAGATCGGTGATAATTTTAATATCGAGTTAGGAGGTGTGGAGGATATATACACATGTTCGACAATACTATTGTTTAGTTTCCTTCTTTTACGAAAACTCTTTGAATTTTCATAAACAGATTAGAAAAATAGGGTACTTTCGAATATGCGGAATACGACTTCCGTCCCATTGTCTTTGTCCAGTTTTAATTTTTGGAACTGTTCATCTAAGGACTTTGACTCATCAAATTCTCTCAATGTGTAAGCCTAAAAATAGTCATGTGTGATCTAGTTTGATTCGTCTTAACATATAAATTCTTAATATATAATTTTTTAATATACAAATTACAAGATAAAATGGATTAAAGAAGTGCATTTGATGGTGTGCCAAAAAATAAGTGGACAAAGACAGTGAGACGGAACGAGTATAAAACAAAAGATTCGAATGTATGACCAATTAACGTCGTGGCGGTTCTTAGCTTGCTTATTGACGTAATTGTTAATACACACCATTTACGTGTGAGAGATTTTTTTGGTTGTTGGACGTTAGTGATAAAATTTTAGATACCATTTACACTAAATTTTATTGATTTTCCGGTCAAATTTTAGATCCAATTTTGGTGCAATGAAATTAGCTGGGGTGCAAGGGTAACACATTGCCCCTCTTCAAATTTAAATTGAACATTTTATTAATGTTAAGTTTAGAAGTAGATAATTAAAAATTTAAATTTACGAAATTAAATTAACATTTCATTCTCTAAAGAAACTAAAAATAAAATTAAAAAAAGAAAAAAAGGAAAAACAATCTCTTCTCTCAACTTCAACCTCCCTCAGGCTCTCTATTAAAAAAATCAATAAGTAGCAACCGATAAAATGGGATGGGGAACTCACACTTCCCGTTCCACGCCCTAAGCCCATCCCCGTGGAATAAGGGACCCGACAAGTCACAATAAAAATGAATTTTTGTGTCATAATATAGTAAAATCTATCAATAATTTTTTTTTAAAATACCGAGTAACTAATACTCCTTCCGTCCGGTATTAAAGTTTACGTTTTGACTTTTGATCATTTTTATGGGAGGTTGACTAACTATGTGAAATGACCAAAAATGCCCCTTTCCAATCTCCTCCTGATCGACTACTCAAAATCGGAGAACCCTATTGAAGAAACCTAGAAGTTCCTCTCCCCCCTCAAATCATTCCTCATCACCCAAAACCGCCGCCCACATCTCTTCCTCAATCGTCCGTCCTCACCACCAATTCGAGAAGCAAAAGCTTTGATTTGGCAATCTGGATCGAGTATTTGGCCTTGCTCAGGTCATCGGAGAGCGTGGCCGACTCCATTGACCGCTGGATTTCATCGACAACACGCAAGTACAGGTCGGCCTCTTTCCAGTCACCGCCGAATATCATCTTCTCTCTGGCGGCTTCAGACGCAGTGGAGTCCCACCGGAGGATTATCTGATTCGCGAAATCGAAAGATGCGGGTAGGGGGGAGGGGAAAAACAGATGAAGGTCGGGAGAAAGAAAAGAAGAATGAAAAGCAAGAAGAAGAGGATGGACGGGGAGAGAGGATTGAAAAGGTATAGATCTGACGGATGGGAGAAAGAAAAAGAAGAGAAGGGGAACGAAGGAAGGAGAGGAGGAAGGGGAGAGGGAGAGAGATATTGAAATGGTAGAGAAGGGTATTTTTGGAAGAGTGTGGGTTAAAATTAGAAATGTAAAATTTATTTTCAGACGGAGAAAAAGAAGAAACGTAAATTTTATTTCCGGACGTAGGGAGTATTATATTAATAAGAATAATAAACTGTCAAATTCATTATACACAAACACACACACAAATTTGGGATGCCTTCCGAAAATGGGCCTTGGCGAGGTGACCATCCAGTCCATGCTTTGAGCCGCTGATGTCCACACCCCATGACCTAAGAGATTACGCTTTTGAGTCACAAACATCTTTGTAGCAATTATGTGATACACCATTTTAAAACGATAACAATTGTTTTAGTCTATGTTTGACATTAGTGTCATCGTTTTTAAAATGTTTTCCACAATATCTTTTAGCACTAGCACTTCAAAGTTAATGTCTATCATTAAAAAAATATCAAAAATATTAACCAAAATTACAAAGGTTACTCCCACTTGGTATGAAACTGGTTGAAGCGTGGGGCCAGGAAAATCTTGAGATTTTTGATACCCAAGAATTATAATTTCGACCTTTTCTTTTACATATATTAACATCCAAGTTTTGTAGATTATGATTTGCACCCAAGTAGCTTCAAAAAAGATATTATTAGTACAAGTTATATTAGTTTATTTTGATTTTAATTAACCTCTACTATATATCTACACACACACACACAACAAAGTCCATATTTCAATATTCAAAAGGAAGATAATATATTTTAAAGATCAAATGAATTGAATAACCACAAATTGAAAGAAAATAAGACATTAATTTAATAAAAGCCAACACATACATAGCCATTATTTTTACCAAACGAGCCGAAATGCATCTCCTCTTTAAAAAAAATATTCTAACCATTATGCATTTACATGATATGAATATATGAAGCTAGGAATTTGAAGATATGGATAAAGCATATACACATTAATATATATACATTATTTCATCATACAAAGGACTCAACCACAGAAGACGTGGTGACCAGACCAGAAAGAAGACCAACAAGGAGTGCACTATTATAAGTAGTTGGCTCCCCCTGCATTGAGTTGTTCCTCACATCAACATAGCTCTCATTTTGAAATGGCCCGCCAACTAGTGCACCAACCGCGACGTTCGGGTTCGGTTTGGGCGAGTGGAGCCATTTGAATCCTTCTTTGCAACCGCTTTTCTGGCCCGCGGGGATCGAGGCTCCTCTGTGATGAACGTAGGTTGGGTACTTTTCTCCGTACCCAACGAGGTAGCTCATCTCCATTGGGTTGTCTCCTAGCACATAATCAGCCTATAATACAAAAGGGGGCATTGAAAGTGTGGTGGAAAAAATTTAACTAGTATTACATTGTCTGCTGTAGGCAGGTGAAGAAAAACTGACCTGTGACATGGCAAATTTTCGGAGTTCGTATGGTGTAAAATCTTTTCCATCGCACGACAGTTTTGTGGTGCGAGAAGTGCGCATGTAATCACTATAAACAACCGCTAAGAAGGCCGATGCGGCGGGATGTTGGAGAGCGTTCCATTCACTTACCCATATTAAACCAGCTGCAGAATCAACAATATTTATTATTAGCGTCAGCGTTTTGAATGGTTTTTGTTAATAATAATGATGGTTAACTCCGGAAATGCTAAAAATGCATCGTTGGATAACATTTTCAAAACGATGAAGATAAATGCTAAAGCTAATAATGCCAAACAGAGCCTTACAGTCTGTTCTGCTGGAAGTGGTAGTTGGGGAGGTAGGTAAGAGGCCACACATAATGGCTTCTGCAGTGCCCCTATACTTCTTGAGAGTTACAGAGTTTGAGAGGCCTTTTCTATTGAAGAAACTCACTCTAGAAATCAAAACCTGAAATGCAAAACCATTTAATTAATTCAAACCATACAAACACCTGAACCAAAAGCTCAAGTTTGTTTGCACCTGAGCACCTGGAAGCTTGTTATCCCAGCTAAACCAGGTTGGACTCCCCCACTGAACAAACTCATCTGCATTCTCCCCAGTGGCATACTCGTAATACGACCGATCCCCGGTTGCGTGATGGAGCCAAGCTGCAGCCCACAAGAGCTCATCGCCGTACCCGGTTGAATTGTAATAACTGGCTATTTGGGGGATGTTTTGGCTGTACGAGCCGCGGTGTTTGTCTGCAAAGACAAACAGCTCTTTGGCATGTTTCAGAAGCAGTGTGGAGTAACCGGAGTTGGTGGACTTAAACACAAGGGACGCGGCTGCCATTGCTGCAGAGGTTTCGGCTGCAACCTCTGTGCCGGGGACAGAAGTGTTCACTTGGATCAATGGTCTTTCGCCGTTCATGTCTTCTGGTCTTTCCCAACAACTATGGTCGCGTACCGCGTCCCCCACCTTCCATAACAAAATAAATTGGACTCAATTATTTTAATATGATTTGGTCCAACTGTCTTATGGCTTAGTTGAATAACAACCTTATACTCAATCCCAACTTCTATCACAATGAGAAAAAAGATTGAAGATTACAAATAGGAAATATAAAAGGTAAGAAAACCTTTAACATTATACTCCTCTCATGAACAATCAAAGCTAAAAGGAGAGAGCTAGTCATGTGTGGAACCTGGATGTACAAGACATTAGGAGAGGGGTGTGCATTGATCAAGAAATCCGTTATCCATTTGAGCGAATCACGGGCGGGTTCGAGCTGGTTCACGACCTCCATACGGTCTCCATATTCGAGGATGGCCCACGACAACATGGTCGCGGTGTAAGCCATTGGGAACCCAAACTTAATGAGGTCGCCCGCGTCATACATTCCTTTACTCAGATCAATCTTTGCTTCACTCCCATCTTTGAGAGCCGAATCCCCCCTCCATGGTATTTCGTTCTTCTCCAACTTGCCAGCTACAAGTACATTTCAACCAGCAAATAACATGTACCCAAACAAACAATGTCGGAATTCAACCTTTTAGTACTCGACCTCTACCCAATCTTAAATTCTATCATAAATGTACATCACTCAAATCCAAATCCACCTCAATTCCTATTTCGTATTGATATAATGTAGTGAATGGCTAAACTACTTTGGAATTCTTTGGAAACAGCTACTTTTAATGACAATTGAGGACAAATACAAAAAGAATGAACCACATGGTCCAGTAACCTGAAAGAAAATAAATTAAACTTTAATCATATTAACATTGACAAATCAGGAGTGAATATATACCCACCCTTTTGAATGGCAAAGAACTGCAATGCCACTTTGAGAGCATCAGCATACTTCTTGTTGATGACTCCCGGCGGCTCCGGGAACCCTCCATCTTTGGGATTCATGAGCACATAAATGGACAACCCGATAGCCACCGCTACAATCGCCGCCAAACACCACCCAAAACATCTCTCTCTGGACTTCGTCTTCCTCCCCATTCTTTTATCAATTTATCTGCATCACCATCCACCAACAACAACATTACATTACATTAAAAGTGTTTTGCTTTTCTTTCTGTTTCGGACAATTTGTATGAATCGAGGGGAAATTGGGAGGATTTGAAAAACACCCAGATTCTATTCTTAAGGGGGGAATGAGGGAAACAAAAGAAAAGAAAAGAATTGGAGAAATGAAATGTTTAATAATGGTGGGTTCTGAGGAAGACATTGATGAGAAGGGGTGTTTGGGTTACCGATTCAATGTGGAAGGGAGAGAGCACCGACCGACGGGGGTTGTTGCCGAAAACATGGGAAGTTTGCCTCCTCAAGTTGTTGCAGCGAGGTGATGGCTACTTTTGAAAGTTCTATGGACGGGAGGAGAGAGTACTCCGTATTATTTTTGCCACCAACCTCCTTGGCTACCTCCTGTACAGTACCGGTACCGGAAACGGTACCGCCGGTTCTGGTACCGTTACCGCCGGCCGGTACGGTCCACCGGTTCCGGGAACCGCCCAATTCGGTTCCGGTTCCGGTGCCCATTTTTCGGTACCGGTACCGTTTTTTTTTATTTCATTCTTTTCTTTATCAATTTCATTTTTAGATTTTTTTATCTCATCATTTCCTTTAACAATTACACATTTACAATTTTACATTTTAAAAATATAATAAAAAAGCAAAAAAAAAACAAAATTAGGGGTGGCCGAAACGGAACCGGAACCGGAACCGGCGGTTCCGGAACCGGAACCGTACCGGCCGGTCCGGTACCGGTACCAAGGGGTGGCGGTACCGGAACCGGAACCGTACCGTGTCCACCCCTAATTGAAGATGATGATTAATGTGTTAGGGTAGGGAGGGTGGAAGTAGGGATGCATACAAATCAAATAAAATGTATTCGATTAATTATTCGTATTCGAAAAGGATAATTTATATTCGATATATTCAAATTTGAATCTAAATACAAATCATATTTTAGATTCAAATTATATTTGAATTTGAATACAAATACTAATAGATTTGATTCGTTTATTATTCGAATTATTTGAATATTATAATTTATAAATAAATTTATATATATTCTAATATATTAAATATTTGTGTACATATTTTAATATATTAAATTTTTGTATACATATAAATTTATACAAATTCGAATATTATAATTTATAAATAAATTTATAATAATAATTTAATGTCTTTAACAAATCTATTTCAAGAAAAAAATTGCTAATATTTTCGAATTCGAATATTCGAATACAAATTCAAATACGTCAAATATCTATCGAACCGAATACAAATATTTTTTTAAAATTCGAATTATATACGAACCCGAATTCGAATACATATCACTTTAATCGAATATGAATCGAATAATTATATATTTGCTTCGATTCGATTCGTATACACCCCTAGGTGGAAGGTTTATTGAGATGGGACTTAGAAAATAGTAACCGTCAATTTTATAAACAACGCACTATAATAGGCTTGGGTCATCTTATGACATGAGGTTCCAATGTCATGAGAACCCTCCTTTAGCCACTATTTATATTCTACGGAGTGCTTTTTGTATTTTTATTGATAGCTTAATAAAATATAAATGTCTTGTAATCTACATTAATTTATTTTCAAAAAAATATTAGATCAAATTTCAATTAAATCAAATGAAACATAATTTTAATCAAACATCTTATTTTTTTAAAATAAATACTCCATACTATATCTATCGGTGTTAAAATATCAAGAAATCATCTTAAATAGAAGGAAAATAAAGAGATAGTACCAAAATACTAATTCGTCCCTATTTGATTACAAATTGGGAGTTACGAGACAAAACTTCTTATCTTTTGAAAACATTTTATTTACAAATTGGTATATCAATAATAAATAAAAATAACTCCGTACTTACTAAAAAACTACATCAAAAGTTCTACAAAATAAGAGATGATATAAATATTTTATTTTATAAAATATTCAATGAAAACACACGAATAAACAAAAATTGTCGATAGGAGAGATAAAAAAATTGTAATTTATTTCGAGATGGAGGGAACAGAAGTTTTATGTTTGTATTCCCAAAATAAGAGTTTACACTGTAATAATGTGACACTCTATATGCACATTTCATTAAGGGTGTAAACGGATATTAATCGGATCAGATGTGTCATTACCAAATCCGTATCTGTTTATTTTTTGTCGGATATCGAATTTGGATACAGATCTTGATGGATATTGAAAATCAAAAACGTATCCGCATCCGTCGGATATCAATTGCGTAACACCCTAACCCGTCCAGGTTTACAACCCTTTCCGAACTAAAGTATTAACTTGGTAATCGTATAATTTAAAACATTTCAAATAACTTTATTCATCATAAATGAAATTNCATTCACTCATTCTGTCTACCTGCGTGTAGCAAATAAAACATACTACACGCTCAGCGATGAAGCTGAGTAAGCATATCTAAAGCGTCGAACATCCAAATAAATTGAATCTCAATTCATAATCAACCATTTGATATCATGCACACAGTATATGATTCAAACATTCATGATATTCTCAATATTTTATTCCAAGTCATTTGATATTCGATATCTCAACCACACTCTTAAATTATTCTTAATCTAAGGCCAATTCATTTTATAACAAGCTCTTAGCTATTCCTAGTCTAAGGCATCATTTCTAACCAGGCCCTTAAACTATAAATAGTTTAATACAGAACACAAGAATCGATAATCCACCCTATGGGTCATGTGGATTACGTACCAATCGAACAATGATTTGTCGGGTGGGTGATATCCGGTCTGGATCCCGTACGTACGTTTTAACCCGAAATATGAATTGGTCAAGTAGGTATATCTTAGAGTTCTTCTAGATATCCTTAATAATCATTATCAATATACAAGTGGGTATATCTTAGAGTTTTTCTAGATATCCTTAACAATATACATTATTTTCATAATCACCATTAATTCATTTTTAATCATGACTTAATCATCAAAAATCATTTTAATCATTAGGTTTATCATTCATAATTATTCATCACAATGATCATTCAACATAATATTTAATAGCAAACATCGGTCTAGTCTCAGTATTAACACCCAAACTTACCATCATGTATCACATAATGTTTTATATGCCAAAATATCATTTATTATACAAATCATATTTAAATTGTTCATAATTAATTGGTATTTTCATAGAATATTTCAGGAATATTTTCGGAAACTGGAATTGGGGAAAAATCTATTTACTCCATAAGTTAATACAAAAATCGATTTTTAAATATATATTAATCTATTAAATATACAAAAATCGATTATATAACATATATTAATCGATTAAATGGAGAAAAATCAATTTAATAATACAGTTTAATCGGTTAAATACAAAAATCGATTTTATACTTTACTATAATCGATTAATATTATTTTTATTTTGATATGCGTTATCTGAACAAGTTTTAATCGATTTTTAGGAAGAAAATAATCGATTTTCGATTACTGTTCATCGTCTTCTACCTTCGGTCCATTTTCGGACATATCAATTTTAGTTACCAAACTTCAATTAAACTATATAGAAATGTTCTCCAAGGTTCATAGATCATTTTAGAATCATTAAAACATGTTTTTAACATCAAATTCAAGGTTTATGACTCTTGGTTCTTCAAACATGTCCAACACAAAACTCAACCAAATGACCATTTATGAACATAAAAACAACCTATATGAAGATTCTAATCTTTAGATATATCTACGGGCTTATTTGAAGCGTAGGGGAAGTTTTGAAGATTTTCCGGCGAACCTTTTGGCGACTCTATCTCACTGCTCCGGCGACCTCACACAAAGATGACAGCACCACTGCACTCTACTCTCAGCAAGGAACAATATAGGAGGAAGAATGAATGTTTTTGGTGAAGAATTGAGGGAGTTGAGGTGTGCTTAAATAGGCCAGTGGAGAAGAAGAAGACACAGGTTTGCAGCTTCCGTGATTGAACGACGATTTGGAATCGGCGTAATTGAACAGGGCGCCGTTTGGTGTGTTGTCCCTGATTGGGACTAATTTTGGTCCCAGTTGGGGTACACTTTTTGTTCCAACTTTCTCTAAAATGAAATCCGATTGAACCGTTGGGATCAGACAGTCAAACTCTACATAATGATATGATTTTCATTATTTATTGACAACTTTTAGAATTTACTTATTTTTGGGTCCTTCTCAGTAATTAATTAATTATAAATTAATTAAATCTAATAGGCCTATTTTTGGGGCGTTACAAATTGGATATCGGATATATCCGTATCTATTTCCAATTTTTAAAATCAAATTAAACAATACTTTAATTTTAAATTAGATTAAAGTCAAACTATTATTAAATCAATCATAACTTGTTAAGGGATAATTATTTTTTTACCATGATTTATGATATTCTACGATAACTTCATATGATAAGAAGATATGCACAACACACAAATACACATATATTTATAGGTCTGTACATATTTTATGTGTATACACATTTATTTTGTATATAAAATGTCTTATATTTAGAAATATCAATAGAGAAAAAAATAGAAACATAAAAAATTAAGAAAAACTACATATAACGGATCGGATATTTGGATAAACGGTTATTTAAACGGATGCATATTCGGATCGGATTTTAAACGGATCGGATATACAATTACCAAATTTGTATCTATTTGGTAATCGGATATCCTTAATCAGATACGGATAATATCCGTTTAAAACAGATGCGGATATTTCCTCTTTAAACAGATACGGATGGAGACGGTAATCGGATTTTCGGCTATCCGTTGACAACCCTACATTTCATTATGTTTTTTGGCAATGTACAAGGTTATGATTGATACTGTATATAAATTTTAACTCTTATTTCAAAAATAAAAATATACAATTCTTATTTTAGTATATTTTTAATAATCTACTCGTACTTTAGTTTTTTCTAAAATTTCTATCAAATACACTAAGGTACTCCATTTGTCCCATAGTGCATAATTTAAAATTTGACCCGAATGTATCGGTCCAAGGTGGAATCGCCCACCCCAGGCGCCCCCACCCCCTTGCCCGACAGGAATGGTGGAGGATGTAAATCATGGTGACTCAGTCGGCCAAGAACGCTAGACTCGTGCCCACCGCGCACAAGGAGCCTCCTCACCCTTTATGGGATTTTTGGATAGCTCCCACACTGCCACTTGCAGGACTCGATCCCTGGTCATCGGTCCAAGATTTCACGCTCTTAACCAACTGAGCTACCCATGCGGGCTTAACCCGAATGTATACTTCTACTTTAAGATGGTCTGAAAAAAAGTAGTTGGTAAATATTTACGGAGTACATATTGTATCTTGATTCACACTCAATTTATCAATCTTACTATATACTTCATCCATTCCAAAAAGATCTTCCTGTTTCATTTTTTTTATCTCATAAAACATTTTTATTCCACCTCAAATGCAAAAAAAAATTTCGAAACAACTTTTACCCACAATAAATGAGAATTGTGGCAAATTTTATGTATTTTAGATATTTGTAGAAGTATTTTATAAGATGCACAAAAAATAAAACAGGAATATCTTTTTGGGACGGGGGAGTAAATATTATAAAAGCATTGACCGTTTTGCAAAAAAGGAAAAGATTCATTTGTCAGACCATAAAAATGTGAAAGTATTCACATTTCACATGTAGATTTAAGATTATAGGCTTGTTTGAGAATAACGTTAGAGATTAACATTAGCGTTTTGGATTAAAATTTAACGAAGTAGATTAATTTGAAAATGCAGGCGCTAAACACTGGTCGTAGATAACCTTTTCAAATTGCTAATGTTAATCTCTAACGCCATTCCCAACCTATGAAAGCATAACTCTTATTTGAAAAATTATAATACCTCATGAACAATTATTTTGAAAAATATTGAATAAATATTACAAAAAAAAGTTCATTCCAAAAGTTAAAGTATTGCTACACCGTCCCACAGGAAAATTTTGCATTTTTTCTTCCTTCTCAAGAAAAAAATCAACTTTCTATATATGAAAAATTTTACTCCCTCCGTCTCCATTTTTATTACAATTTTTTTTTCTCCTCTCAATAATTTTTTTTTTATTTACGTGATTTTGTTAAGTATTTGATAAAATAAAATATTTTTGTCACTTGTTTTTTGTAAATTTCTTGACGCAGTTCTTTAGTATATAATTTTTGTTTCTTATTAATATATCAATTTATTTCCATCATCTCCGATGGAGCCAAAATTTCACCATTTTTTGGCTTTGGAGTGTGATGGAATAAATCAAAATGGATCTCTAAACTGTTTGCGCTTCTTTAATTAATGAAGTAGCAGTTAGTCAAGCAATGCAACTTTCGACGTTGAGCCGGGGGTTTCTTTGGAAACAGCCTCTCTACTTTCAAGTAGGGGCAGGGTCTGCGTACACACACCCTCCCCAGACCCTACTCTTGTGGGATTTAACTGGGTCGTTGTTGTTGTTGTTGTATTAATATATCAATTTATAAATAAAATGATTTCAAAAAGTGGAATATTTTTCCTTGTAAATCTGATATGCAAACTGGAGATGTCGGCAGTGACACTGATAGCTAGTGAGGGATGTTCGACGATTGAAGAAAATATAAAACCTTCATATGCATATCTCCCAAACTCGATCAAGTGATATCAAAACCGTTCATTTGGAAGATTTTTGATATCTGAAAATATCAAATACGAAATCTATTTAGGTTTCCCCAAAGAACAAAAAAAATCGAAATATTAGAACTCATCTCAGTTGTTCATCAAACACACCATTATATATTTTTTCTTGCTCTAATGTTAACCACATAATTATATACGACAGAGGGGTCATTTTTTTCTTTCTACATTATTCACCCTACCAGTGGCTCATATTTTGTTATTTATTTATTTATTTATTACGGAGTATGTGTAAAAAACATAGGTATATGCAAAGTTACTAGATTTATCTCAATATAAACTCTGATAATAATTGTTTGAATTCAATAAACTTTACTACGGAGTAACATATTACAGAGTAATGATTTCATTTGTGCATCGTAAAATCCAAATGATGCAATTTTTCTTGAAATAAAAGTACTTGTTTAAAATTTAAAAAAAAAACAAAATTGAACACATGACTTCATAGTTTATACACAAAATATTGGAGTTCCTCATTCTAAAAATGCTTTTTGTGAACCATAGATGACCACTTTATAATATGATCCATATTTGAAAGGAGATGGGATAAAATGATGATGTGCCTGATGCCTCCACGGATGTCCTGCCTTCTCACGTGCATCGAGTGTGTAGTGAAAAGACAAGGCATCCGTGAGAGCAACAACATTCCAAATTACCAAACATCAAAAAACGTACTCCGTAGTTGATTTCTGTAATAACCAATGTGTAGTGATTATACGTCTTGTAGAACATCATATTAGAGCCTCTAGCAATGCCTAAAAAACACTATGAAGCTTATAACAAAGAATTTAAGAAAAAAAATTGCTAAGTTGTAATAATATGCTGCTACCTGCCACAACAATCAGGGTGTATATACCAGCGCAGCTCACGATCCTTTGCTATACTGAAAAAAATATCATAAGGTGGTGTCTACTGACTCAATCCGAGAAAAAATTAGTCAACCTGCCCTGTAACCAAGTCAGGCGTACGCTGCTATTAAGAGAGAGAAACATCTCCCTCAGACTTGGATCCTCAAACAAGTCAAGAGCCGGGTAGTAGAGGGCATCGTGTATGCCTTCTATATCATCCAAGGCTTTTATACACTTACTTATAGTGAACCTTTCGTCGGTTTGGAGTGGAGGACCATAGCCAAGTGAACCCACCACCATCTTTGATGAAGCTATCATCTCTTGTAAGGTTTGAGAGATAACGTTGATCATCTCACCATCATCCCTGCTGTTCTCAACTGAATCCTCAGGGAGACGCTTTCTTTTCTTCTCCGTTCCACTCTTACCACCCATGGATCCGGGGAAGGATGTCAATGGGAGTGGGGTCATGGGGGACGCATTTTCGCTGTCTATAAAAGAGGTGTGATGATCTACTGCCACTGCAACCGCTGATTTGTCCAATTCTCCATAGTGACTTGATTGTGCATACTTTCCATCAGCATCAGGTTCTTCAAAAATCAAACATAATTCCTCATAGATTGGGCACTCCTTAATCTTGCTTGTTTCCGGCTTCGGTTGACCCTATACATGTAAATCATATATAAGATAAAGCAAAAGATGAGAGAGAAAATGATAACACTTAAATGGCTCCCCGCCAGTACATTTATACCCTCACATGTATTAATAACATTATGATGTGGATGTGTGTTGATATTTTTAGAAAGGCAGTGTGCAACATGGGGTATTCGTGTAACCAATGATTTCAATGTTCTGTTCCAAAAAGTAGTCATGTTTTGTCAAAGGTAAAACTAAGCTTTGGGAAGGTACAACTCTTCTAAATCATCACTCAAACTTGACACTTTTTTGGGATAAATTACATGAAAGTCGATGGAGATTAGCTTCCTTTATTGAAATAAGACTCTTTTGAGGACAAAAATAAGTTTAATAAGAGGACCCTTTTTTTATGACAAAGAGAGTAGAATAACACTCTAGGAGAGGGGTGTACCACAATGTCTTCCCAAAGATCAAAACCAGCAAAGCAAGAATCCACCAAAGAATCATTTTGACCAGATGAAGATGACTTGAAAGCATAGTAACGTGTCCGGAGTACATCAAGGTGTTTCCTCAACTGATTGTTGTTGAAATCGAGGTTTGTCAGTCTGTTAAATTCACTCCGTATGCAATTCCAAGTTTTTTTATCAAAAACATTGTTTGGCCGATTTCCCAGCCGAATCTGCTCAACAACAAGTTCCGCAAAGACCTTATCAAGGGACGGTGTCCATCTTCTTCTTAGGCGTTCTTGCTTTGGTTGTTGATCATTAGTATTTATATCCATCTGCATATTTGCACCATTCAATTTCAAACTGTTCTTATATAGGGAGTTTATGTAGTGAACACTGGATATTTTAGGATGCAGCACATTTTGCAAACATAATTCCTTAGAAAAATCTACATTCTACTGCTTAAATATTAATACCTATTTGGTAGAACATAAAATGATTGAATTATTTCAATCCGTCCAAGTAACTGAAGGTAGAAGCATATTCTCCTCAAGTCCTCTTATTTGAGCCAAAAAAGTAATCATCGCACTACTTTTGTTTTATACTTTTATTGGCCAGCATACTGTAATATGAGTGTTGCAGTGGAAAGTATGGCTACAAGACTACAAGCAACAACAACCCAGTTGAATCCCACAAAAGTAGGGTATGGGGAGGGTATGTGCACGCAGACCTTACCCCTACTCAAAAGTAGAGACCCCCAGCTCAAGCACCACAGGTAAGGGCTGTTTCCAGCTGACCCATGATGAGCGTCGAAAGTTACATTGACTAACTGCTACTTCACTATTAAAAGAAGCACGGACAATTTAAAAAACCATTTTGTTGTATTCCATCATACCCCAAAGCCAAAAAATAGTGAAACTTTGGCTCCATGAGATCATGGTTATAAGACTAATAAGCAAAATATGAACAATATCAAACAGACACTACCTTCTCACGTGCATCCGTAGGCAGTTTTTAGGACTCGATTTCAATAGCACATACTCGGTATTAACAAAAATTGTTAACTCAAGTACAGAAACTCTAAAAGCACACATTTCGAGACAAAATATGAAAGCAAGGACTAATTATGCAATGGTCAATTCTAATGGAGTAAAATGACACAAAATAATTGGGGACCTATGTCACAATCTTTCCTAAATTAAAATAAATTAGTTGTGGTTAAACCTAAAAAGTGTTCTATTTTATGTTTTGACAATCAAAAAGCTATCCCATACCACCTGCAAAGGTAGCAAAGTTGTTATAGTCCTGAACATCGTGACAGAAAGGTCCCATGTTCAAATCCAACAAGGGGACTGCCTATTCGCATTCTTGGTTGAGGTGACTGGCTATGACTCCTTTGAGTATGGTTTACACACTCATGCTTCTTTGTGGGCTAGAGCCATTAGACTAATGGGTACCACTACACACTCTAAGGTAGAGGAGGTAGGTTCTCACATCATAAAATATAAAAGGTATCCCATTCATATTTTAACATGATCGAAAATTGAACAATAACTTTAAAACCAAAGCTTAAATGAACAAAAATTCAAAATTGGATAAATTCACATTTTGAGTGTTATGACCAGTTTGAGGAACTGCCTTATTTAGCAAAAATGGGTCATAAAAGAATAAACCTAAACATACTTCAAAACAATCCAGACAAATTGAGAGAGAATCAAATGCGGTGGTTCACACCAAAGAAGGCCTGGTGATATGCTGGTTAAAAGAGTTGAGGGTGGATGAATGAATTCTGCAAAAGAACAAAAGAGAGACCCAAAAAGACGTGGAATGAAGTGATTAGGGCAAGAGTGTTGTAATGGTCTAATGGATGGAAAGACATGGCAAGAGAGCATTTTTGACAATGAACGAATGTGATTCTCATCTTGGTTCATTTTGCCATCTCCGAGTTACCTGGGACAATCGGTTGTTTTTGTTAATGTGTGTGATTGTGTGAATATGCATGAAATTTAAATTATAAGATTGAATTATACAGAGTATACAAATAGCTATATGGAGTATATACTTATCTATTTCACTAACAATTTCTATTTATACGAAATATTAGCTTTCTTCCGTTCATTTTTAACTAATATAAGTTCAATTTACTCCGTATTTTCCTTGTAACCGTATTGAAAGACCAAAGGTTTGGTCCAAACAAATCCATAGACTGGAGTTATAGATAAATATAAGAACAAAGAAAATATGAAAGAGAAATATTATTAAAAAAATAACACTAAAAATTACTTTGCAAAATTACAGATATTTTAATGTAATAAATAAACCTAATGTTTAGAAATGAAATAATACAATTGAATCAGTCTGCAAAAAGTTACAAATAAAGACATCTAAATCGCAAATATGAAAAACAAAATAGAACAAGGCAATTACTTCTCCGAAACGTGAAAATCGAATCTGTAGCGCAATGGTGTCTCAAACGCATCTTGGAAAATACAAGGATAACAGAACATGAACATCCGTAGACCGGTGTTTCAGATTTGGAATTTTCGGCCGTAGATCCAAAAGATGATTAATGATACAGACATCTAAATCAGGGATAACTGAGACAAGAATATTAGATGATGGTGGTATTGAAGCGGGGGAGAATGAAGAAGATGGAGGCGTTGAGCACAAAAGAATGAAATTACCTGGTCGAGACGTGGAAGAACGAAGAAGAAGAAGAAAGAACTACAGTGAATAGTTGAATCGGAGGAGGCCGGCCATACCCCTGGAATGTTTTGTTACTTTTTTGTACGGCGAAGTAATTGTGCAAACAATAACTTAAAATTGGGCCGGGCTTTAAACATTTTCAGTCCTAAGGCTCGAAAATTCACTATTTTTTTAGATTTGATATAAGTAAATTCCATAAAAGGTCCTCAGTTATAAGTTATTTTACATATTTAGTCCTTACATATCAAATATTATTAATTTAGTCCTCAATTATTATATCATTTTTTACGAGTGGTCTTTTATTAACGTTTTTGTTAAAAACATGAATAAAATTGTATATTCATATTTCTCTATCTCCTCAATTAAGCTTTCTTCCTCCTCTCATACTCTTTCTCAAACTCGTCGCTGAGTTTGAAGCTCTAAACCCAAAACTGAAAATGATCACTTCTCTTTTAATAAGTTTTATGGATGAGTTTTATCGGTTAGTCTCAAGAAATTGTAAAGGAAATAAACATTAAAACTCATTCATGAAGGTTACTGGTTTCGAATTTGGATACCACTAGTTCGAAAAACAATTGAGAGAAGAATGATAATTTGGGTTTTGGGTTCAAAGCTTCAAACTCAGCGACGGGTTTGGAAAAAGAGTGCGAGGAAAGGAAAGAAGCTTAATTGAAGAGAGAAAACAATGTGAATTTACAATTTTATCCACGTGCTTAACGGAAATGTTAACAAAGGATCATTCGTGAAAATGAATATAATAATTGGAGACTAAGTTAGTAATATTTGATATGTAGGGACTAAATATGTAAAACGACCTATAACTGGGGACCTTTTCTGGAATTTACTCTTTGAGATATGATGGAATATACATAACACTCTTTCAATTTTTTATGCTTCTTTTAGTAATGAAATAACAGTTAGTTAATTAACTTTTGACGTTCATCGAGAATCATTTGAAAATAGATACACTATGTTGTAAACATAAGGTCTGGTTGCGTACGTGATTACCTGTGGTGCTTGCACTGGGATCTATTTGAAAACACTCTCTACTTTTGAGTAGGAGTAAGATCAACGTACACATGCATTCCCTAAATCTTAGTTTTATAAGATTCAACTAAATTGTTTTTGCTATCGGGCTAGGCTTTAAACATTCAGATGAGAAAATATATACTCCGTAACTATTTTGGGATCATAGCGAAATTCTTGGCGAAGGAGGCAAATTTTGAAGCCATAACAAGTCTGGGGAGAATGTGTTCTCTACTATATTTTTTGTGTGCAGGTTGAGCCGGGGGTCTCTTGGAAACAGCCTCCCTACTTTCAAATAGGGACAAGGTCTGCGTACACACACCCTCCCCAGACCCTACTGTAGTGGGATTCAACTGGGTTGTTGTTGTTGTTATTGTTGTTTAACAAGACCGGAGAAGGGTGATCAGTTTCAGTTTTTCAAAATTGCCAGTGAGAATCCTTGCCAAACAAACATCTGGGTGGGAGGTGGTGGGGTTATTTTTTTCCATAAATATCCCTACAGTTCTACATAACCATCTCTATTTTTGAAGAGGGGATTTGGGAATCAGACCAAGAAGAGGGAGGAGGTTCAATTTTAGTTAATCAGAGTCATTGGTTCAGTGTATGTCCTGATTTTTCAATTCTTGTTTTCCTATAAATATCCATATAATTCTACTTCATACTTTTTGAGACACAATTATCTCTATTTTCTAATACTTTTTGAAATATTATCATCTTTGTTTTCTAATATCTACTCCATATTAATTTTGTGAAAACATACTCCATCTACTTTTACCACACTATGTGATCTTCAATTATGTTTGTTTTGGTTGGTGTAACCTTTTATGCCTTTCATCCTTTAAAACTTTATATTACAAAGTGTGTGCCTTATCAAGTAGCTAAACAATATATAAACTCTCATTATAATTATTTCATCTAAGCTATGCTTGCTTACATGGATTTGTGAGTGAAATTGAGACTATTTCTTGAGTATTCCATGTATGTATACAAATAAGTATGACTTATTCTTGAGGGAAAACTAAACGAATTAATAGGGTCTCTTAAGACACCCATTTATGTTATGACCACTTGAGAAAAAATAAACTAGATTGAGAGGATGCGTCGAGAAATCAGAATTTAGACCCTTAATCGTGATTTGTACGCCCTCAATTTAAAACAAAGTGATTTTTTAAGTAATTTTATTTGCGTAATGTAAAAAGAACTTAAACATATGTTTGGTGTGTGGTAACAACATTACAATAATAATAATATTAATATTAATAACGTTAACCAAAAAGTGAGATCATTACTATGTATGCACATGTTTGGTTGTTTTTTACGGACATATATATAGTATCAAATGAGTGGAATAATACTGCTAACGATTTTGATACTTGGGGATAACCAATGATGTATTTGATGAAATGTAAGAATAATAAATAATAAATGTAATAATAATAGTAATAATAATGCTACTCCTTCCATGTCATCTGCTCGAAATTTTGTCTTTCATTTTTCTCAACATCCTCTGGTCCATCGGTAGAAGACTCTCGATATTTGTTTGTATGATTCTAAAGTCCTCCAACTCTAGTTTTTGGGTCTCGATCTCTAGCCTCCATTTCTTCACTGTCACAGCTTCCGAGGTGACTTGTTGCTTAAGTCGGAGTCTTTTTGAATGAAATTTATTGAACGAGTTAATGTGCATCATAAGCTCACCATATCTCGTTGGGCCCCTGGTGCCGGAAGATACTGACTCCTTCTTTGCTTTATCCCTCCCCACGAGACTTATATATTGACTCTGTAATTGGGCCCCTGGTTCCAGAAGATGCTTTTTTTATACTTTTTTGAACTTCCAACGGTCACCACCCCTCAATATAACTTTTTTTAAACAGAGGTAACTACCGAAAACGAAAAAAAGGAAATAAAAAACAAGAAAAAGGAACTGTGTATTAGATCATGGAGCTCGGCATCAGCCTCGCTCTCACGACGAACACCACTTGGGGGGTCCTGTCGACACTCGGCACCACTTCGCACGCCGAGGCCTCCCCCCCCCCCTCCCAGAGCCCCATACCGAGCAGCCTAACGAGGGTATTCATAGAGAGCATAAATGCTTTATTAACCTTATACTACCTCCGTCCCGTGAAACATTTCCTCTTTCTTTTTTTATCCGTCCCACAAAACACTTCTCATTTCTATTAAAAAGTCACTTTTACCCCTTACTTTTTCATACCCTAACTATCACATCATACCTTTTTACTAATAATTTACCCATCAAATCATACTTTTACCCATCACATCAAAGGACATTTTTGGAAATTCAATACCAAAATACACTCCCTTAAATCCCTCCTAAAAAGCAAATGTCTCACGGGACGGAGGTAGTAATACAATCCACTTTTTCGATATTTGGTTGGATAAATTTAGGAAACTTCCAAAATCACTCTTAATATTGGTAATTGACTCTAGTAGTCGTGTGTTATTCTTTGTCCGAATGAGAAAAGAAAATGGATAGAAAAAAAATAAAGAGAAGTAGATTGATGATGAGAAAATGGAAAAAAATTATAATTAATATTGTAATTGTTTAAATGAGTAGAAAATTAAAAAAATATAATTTGACTATTAGAATATTTTGTTCGTAAAATTGATGGTTCTACAGCGTAGTATATGGTTTTACCTTTTATGTTTGTACTTTGTATAAGACGAAATGACTATACAATTACACAATTAAATTTCACTTCATCTTCAATTGTTTAATGTTGTCGATATGTCCGAGTGGTTAAGGAGACAGACTTGAAATCTGTTGGGCTTCGCCCGCGCAGGTTCGATCCCTGCTGTCGACGTTTCTTTTGCGAGTTGTTTTCTGTAATCATTTTTTAATTTCTTGATTTTTGTACCTTTTTTAATCTGAAACTCAAAATCAAAATCTTTATAAATAATATCTCACACATCAACTAAATAGCAAATTCATAAAGAAAACTCATTTTCAAATTTCTTGATTTTTGTACTTTTTTAATCTAAAAATCAAAATCGAAATTTTTATAAATATTATCTCGCACATCAACTAAATAGCTAATTCATAAAGGAAAACAGCGAATTATAATGCCAATTAACTTGTAAAATATTTACTAAAAACACTAATGTCATTTTTTAAAAAGTAATGTTTTCTATACTCATTTTTGCGAGTTGTTTTCTGTACTCATTTTTTAATTTCTTGCTTTTTGTACTTTTTTTAATCTAAAAATCAAAATCAAATTTTTTTTGAATAATATCTCACACATAAACTAAATAGCTAATTTATAAAGAAAAACAGTGAATTATAATGTAAATTAACTTGCAAAATATTTACTAAAAACAATAATGTCATTTATTGAAAAGTAATGTCAAATTTATATCTATAAAAATAGTAATCTATAAAACTATTAATGTTACAAAAATGACTCAAGTGATTCTTTTAACTTTTTTTATAACAAATTATGCATTTCCTTTGTCTCGAATTAATCGTTTTACTTTTCTTTAGTCTGTCTCAAAACAAATATTTCACTTCCTTATTTTTCTAATAAAGTAAAATAAATATGTTCTACAATCTTTCTCTTTCCTCTAATCAAATTTTAACCACTCACTTTTAATTTTGAACACCTGTCTTAAACTACATGAAATGGATTTGGAACGATTAATTGACGATGAAATGAGTGCAAGAATAATAGTTCGAAAAAATAATAATGCAATGAGAATAACATTTAAAATTTTTATGGGATTTTTTATTTTTATTTATTTGTCATCAGAAAATCTATACAAGAGCCAAGAGTATCATAAAAAATTACTCCGTATTTTAGTTCTTTATAGAATTAATTATTTCTACTTTTAAACTAAAACCAAAATTTTTCTGAAATAAATATTTTCCTCCAAATAAACAGACTTTAACTTTCAATTATATTAAATTTACATTGTATATTATTACAATGAAATAAGGTTATGATAGTTTTCCACAAGATAAAATTAACTATGGTTGATTCAAGGAATTAGAAAGGAAAAAAAAAGAAATAGTTTTCTATTATTTTTCATCACCAAAATGAGATGAATATTTTTTTGAAGGAACAAATGAGATGATTTTTGTTTTTCTTCCTACCAGTACATGTCTTTTCATTTGTTTTTCTTCCACTTTTTGTTTATTTTTTCTCTCTAACCAAACTATAATGGTTTTTCATCTCATTTTCTTTTCTTTTCTCTTTCAAATTCCTTGAACCAAACATATTATTAATGAAATCATTTTAGTACTTATACCATACGGAATATACAATTTCTACTTAATTGATGATCAAAATTTATCTAATTCGAGTGAAAAGTTTCAAATTGGACAAAAATCCTGAGATGAAAGTAGTATTAGATCAAAGTCACATAAAGAACATACTTACCAAGGCGTACCAAATCAAGAAAATCACATACTTTTGTAGAGTTCAATGAGTTGATTAAATTAAAGGCAACAAAAGGAAATGGACAACATAACAATGCTCATAAAACCCATCTTTCTGAAACCACCTGCTGCTGTGGAATCCAACTTCCTTAATCATCATCTTTGAACTCTCTGCGCAATCCAAACACGTCCTTAATACATCTCAGCAAAACCAATGTAGAAATTTTCATGAAATCTTTGGCTAACTCCCAGAGTGTGTGCTCAAGAGAGTCATAATAAGAGTCATTCTTCACAAAGGAACATACTTTTTATATTCAGTCACGAAATCATTATACCTGCGATCAAGATATCGAGGTTGGATACCGCTGCCTTGACATGTTGTGCATGTCATAGAACCAACACCATCACAGTTGATGCAACGCGAGACTTCCTTCTCATCCCCTCCAAGCTCAACTGTTACTGTCCCTGTGCCCACGCAAAACCTACATCGCTCTACACAAAAAGAAGCAAACCAATCTTTTTTATGTCAAAAGATGACACGACACCCTTTGGCTTTTGCCCCGAGTTTCAACTTTGTCGCATACTTTTTGTTTGGTTTAGTTTTGTTTCATTTTGGTCCGCGCTACAAGGAATGAATTTCTGTTATGTTAAGTGTTTCAGTTTGGCATGTCTTCCATGATACCACTGGATTGCAGGTTAATAGATCAAAATATCAGGTTGTGTTTGAAAAAGGGTAATCTTCCTTTTATCTTGGGTGTCCTATTACAGCAGCAAGGTTGAAGGCTTCTGATTGTGAGCCTCTAATTTATAAAATTACTGCTAAGATCACCACTTGGTCCTCTAGGCATTTCTCTAATAGTGCGAGAGTTACATTGATCAACTCTGTCTTGATGGAAGTTAACTCCTTTTGGGCAAGAAGTTTTATACTCCCTAAGCTGGTGGTTAAAAGAATCCAAGTGGTTTGTATAAACTTTCTTTGGGGAGTTCTTCTTAGTATTAAAAAATGTCCATTGGTTCAGTGGAGAGAAGTGTGTAGGGCTAAGAAGTATGGAGGGTTGGGACTAAAGAATATCCTGAACTGAAATAGAGAAACTATCATGGGGCTTAACTGGGATGTGGCTAACAAGAAAGATATTCTATGGGTTAAATGGCTACATAACAAAGTTCATCAAACAAGCTGATATTTGGGGATACTTTCCTAAACTTGATTCACCTCATTACTGGAGAGAGATGATCAGGGTTAGGGAGGTGTTCAGTGATATGACTAGAGCCATTAGGTATGAAGGTAAGATGGGATACAATTGGTTGCAAGGCAGTTTAACCAGTCATATAGTTGGGGAAAAACTGGGTTTGGAATAAGTTCATACCCTCTAAAGTTCAGAGATTGCAAACAAAAGCCAGGTTAAGTAGATTCTTGAAGGTTGATACTCCGTGCAGTATGTGCCAGATTGTTCGAGAGGATAGATCATATCATGTGGAAGTGTGGATTTGCTCAACAAGTCTACAGTAAGGTGTTTGAAAAAGAAAAATTGCAGATTAATTTTGCTGACTTTAATGATGTAGGAATTGCTCTTATGAAAATCAGCAACAAGGAAAATAGCATTTGGCCATTTTACCCTATAGAAAAATAGCATTCTTTATGTTCCAACTGAAAAGAAGAGTGTGCAGCTCTCTATCAATAGTAAATGAACCTTCAAATCAATAATAGAGAGTGGCGGCCTTAGGGAGGGGCTTTCGACTTACGAGCACCAGAGCCATTGCAGGGAAAACATGGCTGTGTGTTCTCTCTGTTCGCCTGCAATGCCGCCAATTTCACACTATTAAAACATACACCTAGTTCCCAACAACACATAAACTATGAATCTACCTCGCAAATTTGCAATGTGAAAATACTACTTTAACCCTTGGATAATACACCACCCGAGACAATCTCACACGGAGTGTGAAACATCCCAATGAGAAGTGATACTTTAATGATGATATGTTAATTATTAAAACATCGACAAACACAACATAATCGCGACCGCTTGAGTGTCAAGATGTATGCATATGTAAAAAAAACAGATAGGTCATTTCTGTTAGACCCTTAACACATCAATTGCCTAAAACATCATAGAAACTAAGAATCAAATAAGATTTAATGTAACATTTTGATTTAGTCTATTTTAAACGTAACCAAAGCTATAACATTGTTAATGATGACTGTTTTAGCTCCATTTGCAAAGCTATGTCCCAATTATTACCCTATCATAGAAAAATAGGTTTAAGAAATACAAAGGGGGACGGGGAAGCTTACGGCTTTGTTGATTTGGGTTTCATAGAAGACTGGAATTCCAATCCCTACCGCAATGCCGGCAACCCCAACTGTAATTGCTACTATCTGCAAAACCCAGAAGAAGAAGAAGAAGAAGAAACCATCACTAGTATGTTTGTGTAAATCATAAATCAGAAAAAAATGAACAGGAAAAAAATGGGAAAATCAAATAGGAGAAGATAAAAACCGTGTCTTGATCAAGATCAGCTCTAATACAGGGAAAAGAAGCTGGTGAGCGATGGGTTTTGAAGAGTTTCTGGGAAGAAGACGATGGAGAGAGCTTGAGAGGACAACAGAGATATGGAGACTGAAGCTTGGGAGAAGTGGTTGATAACATTTTCTTGGAATAATTTTGTTTTAAAATGAAATTTGATCAAATTGTTTCGCCAGTGAAGGGATTGTAGGAGATGTGTTGTTGCCATGGCTGTGTTGTTAACACTTAACAATGGAACCTTGGGGGATTTTGTGGGGTCCTTTTCAGTATTCACCACACAAAGAAAAAAATGTCTCTCTAGAAAAAAGGCCATTGTATAATAAATAAAACCTGCTAAATATTTTTCAAATAATTAAGGACCTCTCGTTCTCCTATCCACTCTTCGGTCCAAAATTTATTCATCCTATGGGTAGAGTTGGTAGAGATGTATTTGAAAATAGCATTAGAGATTAGCGTTAGTTTTTTAAAAGACTATTTACGGGTAATATTTAGCGTTAGCGTTTTCAAAGTAATCTGCACCGTTAAACTTTTATCCAAAACGTTAACGCTAATTTCTAACGCTATTCCCAAACATGCCACTACTCGACTCAAACCTAGATCACATAAAAGCATGTGGCCATCATATGCGCGTGAGACAGACTCTATTCACTTTTTTTTCTATTTTCGTTACTCATTTGATAAAATAATATAGTCATGTCACATCTTGTTTCGTAAAGTTTTTTATGTAATTTTTAGAGTAAATTCTTTAAATAGTCTTTCATAAATGTGGGTTTCCATATTTAATCCACATTTATCAAATATTATATTGACAGTCCTTACTAATTGGATATCATTTCACGTTTAGTCCTCCATCTATTTTTCTGTCTTCATGTCGTTAGATAAAGACCAAACGTGGAATGATACATAATCAATAAGGACAAAAATAATATTTAATAATATGGACTAAATATGGAATTTTTTCCAATATAAAAGATTATTTGGAGAGTTTACTTTTTAAAACCATTTTTAATATTGAAAGTACTACCTCCGTCTTTGAGTATTTTGTCCAATTTTAACTTTTTGCAGTTTACCATTTGTAACATTTGACCTATAATTAAATAAAATTATTTACGTAAATCCAATAAAATTATTTTTGTATCAATATCTAATATATTTTTTAATTCACGGTCAAAGATTGCCGATTTTGACAATTCAAAAACTCAAACTAGATCAATACTCTGGGACGAAGGTAGTAATAAATATGAAAAGTATATGATTGTAGTTTGTATATAAAAAGTCAAAGTTATCATTAAATATAATTTACCAAAAAATTCATTTTTTAATATGAAAATTATCTTAGAAGATATAGGAATTAATAAGTAATTTGAAATCATCCAAAATAGGAGTAAATATAACATATATCTTCAAAATAAGAGGCTCATGTTTTTTTATCAATATACAACTTTGCACTGTGACATAATGACATTGTATTGTGATATTATATATTGGTATTATTAGCAATATACTCTTATTTTGAAGATAAAAATTTGAAGCTCTTACATTATTAAAAAGGGATAATAACTTCAAATATCTTTTTAATTTCTATTAGTTTCGAAAAGATTCTCATATTAAAACTTGAATTTTTTGATAAACTATTTTTTGTGGTGTAAAAATTTTGATTTTTTATAAATAAACTACAGTTATACATTTTTCCTATCTATTAAAAGACTATTTAGAGAATTTTACTCTAATTTTTAAATATGTAACATTTATTTTCTAAATTTAGCTCTGATTCCCTGATGAATTACATTGGAAATAATTTCATTCAAACGTCCTAAATTGAAACAAACAATTTAAATTAGTAGTTTTTAGTATGGAGGGAGTATAACACTTCCTTTCTCTTCTTTCAAATCCTACTATTTTTGTAATTTTTTCAATTCCCATGCATTTCGTGCTTCATATAGTTTATTTTCTATGTACGTAATGAGCTTCATACAACTAATATCACCCGTTTTTACCTCTTTCATGCAACCCATTTCATGTATTTCATTTTCTATGTAATGAGTTTCGTGGAATTAAAATAAGAAATTTACTTAAATATGACTAAAACATAATGACTTTCCCAATATATGACTATATATTTTTATTTCCCAATGTAAAACCTTTGGTCATTATCAAGTAGTCATTATTCAACTAAATGTCCATTATTACTGGACATTATTCTTCCATTAGTTCATTATTAAGTCATATTTAGAGAATAAAAAAGTTTAAGTCTTACATTAGGAAAGTCATTATGTTTTAATCTTATTTAGTGCAAATTTCACAATTAAAATTGGATGATAAATGATGAATGTAATGGATAATGAATAATACGAAGGACTACCTAAATATCCCTGTAACAGAAACAAGGTCAATCTATTTTTTTAGTGCAGGTCCAATCTGTTAGTATAGAATATTTCCTCCATTCTTTGTTAAATTTCTATTATATACTCCGTATGTGATAGAGGACTATATTTAGTTATTTACCATTCTTACTATATTACTATTATTATTATTTATGGTAACTAAATAACTAATAATCCTAATTATAAAAGGTAACTAAATAAATTAAAATACTAATAACCTAATATAATAATACTTCCTAATAATAATGAAATTATCTAACCATAAATAATAATAATAATAGTAATATAATATGAATGGTAAATAACTAAATATAGTCATGTATCAATATGACTTTTATTATGAGTTTTTTTGCGCAATTTATTTCTAAACTCTTCAAAAATCACACTCATTCCATCTGAATTTTAAAAATTGTAATAATGGTTCCTGGACTTTTAAAAACATTGCATCAATAATTCCTCTGTGCCAGATTTGACAATACGTTAATCACACTTTCATCAATTTGCATGTTGGAGCTTGATGAAGATGTCATGAATTGATGAAGATGTTGATCGATTGATGAAAATTTTGATTGATTGATGCCCAAGATTCAAGTTTGGTTACCGATGGTTAAAGCGAGAACAATTATCAAGGGTATGAAGAGGTTAAAAATATAAATAGATAATGCTTAGGAAAGCATATTGCAGAACTCATGTGTGATATGATAAATGAGTTTGGATGAATTCATATCTCCACTGGACGCAAGGGTGGACCCACGTTGAGACATACGGGGTCACACAATGCCACGGAAATTTCATACTCCCGCCATCTGGAAAAAACCTTCTCATTTGGATTTTTTCTCATTTTTTTGAATGGTTGACTTTGGAAGAGAAATGTCCAATATACCCTTCATTTTTTCCTGTTTTACAACCCCAACCCTGCCCTCCCCTCCCCTGATCTCTCTGCCAGGGCTAGCCCACCACCACCTCCCCTGATCTACCAATCTGGGAGAGAGGGAAGAGAAGAATTTCGGAGGAGAACTAACCGCCGCCACCCTTGTAAGCACCGCCACCAGCCCCAACACCACCATTGACAGCCCCACCGCCACCCTTATCACAATTGTCAGCCCCACCACCCCTGCCTTCCCCCGTCACCGCCAGCGCCCACCATCAACACCACAGTCCCGGCTCCATCGTCACCATCATCCGCCATTGTTACACGTGGGAGAAAGAGAAAAGGGAGGAGAAGAAGGGAGGAGGAGAAGATAAAGCTATAGACCTGCCAGATCTAGGAGGAGATGGACAAAAAAGGAGAAAGGAGAAGAAAGAGGAATAGGAGTGTGGAGTAGATGAAGAGTTCATGCACATGAAAGAGATGTAGATCTAAGGAGAGAGGATGGTTTTCGAAGAGAGGAGGAAGATAAGATTCAGAATTGAGTGAATCAGGATACGTGGGTGGGGAAGTGGGGGGTTAGGGAGAGAGAGTAATGCGTGCAGGTGGGTGGGGAAGTGGGATGGTTTGAGAGAGTAATTGAGAATTTAATGATAAGGGTATTTTTGGAAGGATTGAGGTTAAAAATTAAAATGAGAAAATTTTTTTCAGACGAAAAAAATGGAAAAACGGAAAGATTTTTTCCGGACGGAGGGAGTAATTTTGTATATACCTATAGGCATGTGTACCTAGTATTACTATATGCAGGGCCGGCTACACACATGGGCAGCAAGGTCATATGTACATGGCCCAATTTTGGAGTGGGCCCCATTTTTATATTTACTCCATAATATATACTTATATATGTATTTATTTATATAAAAACTAAAAAAAACACTAAAAGGCCACCTTACTCTCTCTAGACTTTTGCTTTGGCCCATGATGCACCAAAAAATAGGTCCAATTTTGAAGGCCCCGAGCGGCTGAGCCCACGATGCACCAGGCTTAATTTTTATTTTAAAAAATGCAAAATTACAGATTTTACATAAATACTCTCAAATTTGTTTCTTTACATCATTACTCCCACATTATTCTTTTATTTACATCATTGCTCCCAAATTTGGTAGTGAACATTAGTGTTACTTGAATGCGTTTTTTTGCGCTAAGTGAGCAGTTAAAATGCAGATATGTATTTTTTTCACTATAATATAACAAATTCACCTCAAATTATTCTCTCCATCGACTTTCTTACGTCTTAGTAAGCCTAATCATTGCCCTTATTTCCATCACTTTTTTTTAAAAAAATAGATTTCAAACTTCCTAAATGTTTTTAATGTTTAATATCAAGTGTGTTCATATTAATTTAATTTGAATTCAATAAAAAACGATGAAGAACCCCGTTTAAAAAGACGCATCCGAGGAACATTGATGATGAAGCAATCACGGAGTAATGACGTATATAACAGACAAATGTGGGAGTAACTATGTAAATAAACAAATTTGAGAGTATTTATGTAAAAACTGAAATTTCTGAGAGTATTCATGTGAATTTTGCCTAAAAAAATCTCTTTCAAAAATTACTCTAATTAGGTGATTAGCAATTGATTTTATTAACCTCTTATCATGTTCATGAATCATGATTTTAGAATATTTTTCATAATTCTAGCTTACTCTACAAATTTTAGTGTAATCAATTGCCCAATTGGAGTAAATAAATAATTTCAAATTTTATAATTTCATAAATTAGATTAGTTGATTTCATATTGATTTATGATTTTCACTTTGAAATGAATTAGATTGTATGTATAATTAATTTTATTTAAGATTACTAATTTTGTGTGTGGATTTGATTATTTGAAAATTTGACTTTGACATTTTATTACTCCGTATTTTTATTACAATAATGCTCTCAAGAATGCTAGAAAACTTCAAGAATCCTTAGTTAGCTATTAATATAAGCAATTTTAATTTTATAAGACTATAAATTTGACAATTTATATTTTTTATTATTATAATATTAATTTTGTTAAATACACTAATTGAGAAAATTTATTTTATTATGACACAATGACTCATATTTCTTTATGTCGTACAGGGTTCCCGATTTCTCAGAGACGGCCCTGACTATATATTCGTGAAACACAGTCCTAGTAAAGGTTGGACGAGCAGCTCGAATGGAAACAACACCCTCATCCATCCCGGATGTCTTGAGTTTGAAACCACCAAACTTTAAAGGCGTTTTTCCTTTTTTTGGATCCCCCACTTTTAAGGCTTAGATTGGATATTTAGATTTGATATTTGTGAAATATGAATTTTGAAATTTATTCCTTTCAATTTGTAATTTGTGAATTAGGTTTATACTATGTAAGATTGAGAATATCTTAAGATGTTTGGGTTTGTTATAAATTTATAATGTTTTTAATTATTTGAAATTCAAATATAGGAGGTAAAGGTATTACTCCCTCTAACCTAAAATTAACTTCTCATTTTGACTTTTGCAGTCAAACTTTTAAAACTTTGATTGTATATTACGGAAAAAATATATTGAATTTTCATATAAATTTATTATCAATAGATTCATTTTAAAACATAGTTTTGAAATATATTATTTTTATTATATATATTCATATAAAACTGGAGATACTAATAATGGTCAAAGTGTCGCATTGGAGATTGTGAAAAGTCAAATGAGAAGTTAATTTTAGGACGGATGGAGTATAATAAATCACTTTTGAAGTATGAAAAACTTTATCAATTATATTTGTAATGAAAGACTAGTATTAATTTGTGATTTTTATGGTAAATTAAATGTCAACTTTAATGTTATATATTATGAATTATTATTTTTTATTTAATGTTAGAAATGTAATTATTTGGTATGAACTTTCTAAAATGCGACTTCATGGTTCAAATGTTCTAGCTAGGTCTGCCCCTGACTAGACGAATGCCTGATTAACGCACACTCAAATCCGGTACAGAAGAACGATTGATGCAATGTTTTTAAAAATTCAAGGACAATTGGTACAATTTTAAAATTCAGGGATAATTCATGCAATTTTTGAAGAGTTTGAATGTAAGTGGCGCAAGAACTCCTTTCATTGTGCATCAAAAATTAATAAATATAGACATAAGGTATATATACATTTATTTATTTTTCAATATATCATAAAAATTATAACAGACCGTTAATAAAGAATTACAAAAAAACAGAGTATATACTTTTCGTCTACTCGTAAATTGACCCGTGCATTACTGAAATCAGAATTTGATACCTTAGAAACCCATGCAAGAATTGAATTCTTTTTCTCTTTTTAATCAGAACGTCAATTAGAGAATTCGGATTCACAAAAAAAGATGTAATACTAATAAAAATAATAACAGTAATAATAATAATAATGCATGATAATAATAATAGTAACAACAACAACAACAATAATAGAGGTTTGGTGTTAAAGTACATCCCACATCGGAAGTTCAAAAGTAAAATAATCAGTATATAAGGTCTTGAGTTGAACTAACTAATCAATTGGATTAAATCTTTTAATGTGGTTCAACTCAAGTGTCTTATAGCCCAATCCATATCCTATTTCCTCATCCTAAATTTTATCATGGTATCCGAGCAGGTTTTGGCTCACCTCGATTGTGAAGGTGTCCGTCTAGATGTTCATTCCTAGCAGTCCGTTTGTCTTTAACCCAGTTGTCCGTATGGAGTATCAGGTATGTACTCAACGGCCTGTCGCTCGTTTAACACGATTGCTCGTCTAGAAGTTCATACCCAGCGGCTCGTGGTCCTTTAGGTGTTGATGCTAAAAAAAATTAAGGGAATGAGAGTTCATTTGCAAATGGTCAACCGGTTAGATTCAAAATGGCCCGGTTGTCCACTTGAGGGGAGTGTTAAAGTACATCTCACATCGGAAGTTCAAGAGTAAGATAATCAGTATATAAGCTCTTGAGTTGAACTAACTAATCGAATGGATTCAATCTTTTAATGTGGTTCAGCCCAAATGTCTTATTACCCAACACAGTTATCCCTACCCAATTCTTAATTCTATCATTTGGGTTGTATTCTGTTTGTCTAATCTGATTGATTTTGATTTAAAATTTTAAGGTCGGATCTAGTATGGACGAATCTCATCTGATTTGATTATGATTTGATCTGATTAATGGATCTAATCTGCTGATTTGATTCAAATTAAAGTTAAAATTATTTCAACATTTTTATTATTTTTTAACATTGTGATGTTCATAGAGTCAAAAAGACATTGTGATGATAATTGTTTTAAATTATGGAGTATTAATTACTTTATCAATATATAGTACACTGAAGATGTAGAAGAAAGAAAAATTGTTATTAACAATGACCAATGCTTAGAAAATATAGATGTTATATTACAAAAATTATAACATTTACTTCAAAATATAGAAGGGACATGCTAGTGGTACACTAAAATGGGATCTCCCATTTGTACACCAGACAAACACAGACAAAGAGATATTTAGTGTTTGCTTGTCTGTGTTTGTTTGGTGTACAAATAGAATACTCCATTTTGCTATACCCCTAGATTTATTCAATATAGAATTGAGTCCAAGAGCTTGTAGCCCCGTGGTAAATCAGCTAACCTCCGAGTATGTAGAATCCACTTTAATTTAATACTTCATCTCTCTTAATCTAAATTTCTTATTTTTTTTGAGATGTTCAAAAAAGGCTTTCTTTAAAAAAATTAGGTGACTCATAATATTTCTCTTTTCTCTATAGCATTTTCAACCATACATTTTTTCTTTCCTTAAACTTTGTGTGAAATCAAACCAAGAGTTTTTTGTCGACGTGGAAATATGTATTGAGACGCCACCCACCGCGATTGGGACTCGAGTTCGTATTGAGACGCCGAACACTCCAACTTTTTATTAAATTTTGTTTTGGTTTAACTAAAAAAATAAATGATAAATGTTATAAAAGTAATATTTTAAAGCAAAAATAAAAAATAAGGATAAAAAGGAATTAAATGGGGAAAGTTGACATGTTGCTGACTTGAAAGACGAAAAAGGTGAAGATGATGGGTCTGTTTAGGAATAACGTTAGAGATTAGCGGTAGCGTTTTGGATAAAATCTTAACAGTGCAGATTACTTTGAAAATGCTAACGCTAAACGATGTTCGTAGGTAGTCTTTTCAAAACGCTAACGCTAATCGTTAACGCTATTTCCAAACATGCCCGATAACTAATCTATGATTATACTAAATACTACCTCCGTCCCACTCTCTTTGTCCACTTTTGACTTTTGGAACTGTTCATCTAAATACTTTGACTCATCAAATTCTCTCAATGTGTAAGCCTAAATATAGTCATGTGTGATCTAGATTATTAATATATAATTTCTATAATTTTTTAATATACAAATTACAAGATAAAATGGATTAAAGAGGTGCATTGGATGGTGTGCCAAAAGGTAAGTGGACAAAGAGAGTGGGACGAAGGGAGTATAAAAGATCAACAAGTAACACGTACAAACTCTATTCTTTCAGTGACCGTGTGACCAGACGTGAGACTCATCCTTTGCTAATAGCACACCCAAATGCCAAATAGCCGTAAGAGAGTGTGGTGAGTTATGTAAAAGTAAAAGTCATGATTTAGAAGCAAAAAACATGTATTTTTAGTTTTGTTAGAAATCACTTCTAGACCTTAATTTTAACTGCTAAAGTCATAATTTATAAGCTAAAGTAGATAAGTAAACATTTAATATTGTTTTTTTTTGAAATATTTAATATTGTGTTTTAGTAAAGGAGAATACCACGACAACCAAATGTTTAAAAGCAAAAATCATCATCACTTCTCTATTTCAAAACCACACCCGTTGGCACTCCGTCCTTTTCATGTTCTCTCTTCTCTCAAGTCACCCCCAGCCTCTTCGCCGCCGCCTCACAACGGTACGCCGTAGCTGAACGGCGGCACCACAATTCCGGCGGCCGCGATCTTCTCCATAGGACTCGAGCCCCTCGCTTTGCTTCTGTTCTAAAGTACTGATTGTTTGAGATTTTCTGACATTGTAATTTCATTTTGCAGCTCTTCTCGGTTTCCTGTATATATCTGTTGCTATTTGCCTGATTGCTTTTCTCTTAGCTCTGTTTTGAAAAATAAGGCTGATTTTCCTTCTTAATTATATTCTTCCCTGATTATTTTTGTGGCTACTCGTAGATTTCACGAACTAGTTATTTTCATCCGTCCTTCATATGCATTTCTTCAGTAAAGCATTAGTTATTTTATTGGGAAGAATAAAAATTCAAATGGAAGTAATGCATATTGGCGCTGCTTTTGTCAGTTTTGTGATGCAGTTTTTTTAATATAAATTTCTGTAGTTGACGACTTGGAGTCTCCTAATACTTTGTTTGGATGATGGTTAATATTCTAATTGCAAATTTTGTTATGAAACTCTGTATGAGGGGGCTGATACTCTTAGGGATATGAAAAAAATCATTGTTATGTTTATATTTCATAGATTGTTTTTATTTCAATCAGTGTGAAGTCAATTCTTTGGTTGTTAAACATATGGCCCTATATTTTTATTGATTTTTTTGCGTCTTAGCTTTTTTGAGTATGACATCTAATTGAACCATCTAGGCACTTTGTTTTAGCCAGTTAATACTACGGACTGGCTAGCATGAGGTTTTACCTTGCTTTCTAATAGGGGTCAGAGAGATTTGATATTGTAGGAGGCCATGTAATTTCCACTTTTTCCCTTTTTAATATGACCTAATATCCAATTCACATTTTTATGAGCTTATGGACAGAAGATTGATCTTGGAGGGAGTCATTTAAATTCCATGTCTTTTACCTCTTATATTTAGTCCACGCTTTTGTTAGCTATATTAAATTTCTGCGGGCCTGTGAAAATTCATTGTCTAATAGTGGGTAAAAAGATCTGAGCTGATGTTTTTTCTCCACTATTTTTCCCTTTTCAGGAATCATCATGATTGGGTCTTTACTCACAAGAGGCCTCGTGTATGTATTGTCATAAGTTGTACAGTAACAAGTTTGGTTCTTACAGCTTTCTAAACTTAAATGCTCTTCACTTTTTTCGCATGCAGGATGGTCTTTGGTTATGCATACCCAGCTTATGAGTGTTTTAAGATGCTTGAAGTAAACAAGCCTGATATCCAGCAACTTAGCTTTTGGTGCCAATATTGGTATATTGGAACATGTTTGATCAGATATCTAATAGTTTGTTTGGAACCCGGAAAATAGAGAGGGAAATGGGAAGGGAAGAAAAATTGTTAAAAAATTGATTGTCTCAATTTCAATAAATACAACAAGAACCTAGTAGAATCCCACAAAAGTATGGTGTGGGGAAGGTATGTGTACGTAGACCTTACCCTCACTGGAAAGTAGAGACGCTGTTTCCAAGAGGCCCCCTCTATTTGAATAAATATATTTAAGAAATTTGTTCAGACGCATGTTGAGTATTTATTTCTATAATTCTATCATATGATGATGAGGATATCTAAATGTATGGAAAATGTTTTAAGGAATTATAATATCTCATTTTCTTTAGTGTTTTCCAAGCGAAATATAGGAAAATGGCTTCTGTTAGCATTTTGTTTCCTTTCTCTACTACTTTCCGTGATCTAAAAATGCCCCAAAAGACCTAGTTGTAATATCATGAGTAACGCCATTTGCAACAATTGCAGGATTATAGTCGCCACAATGACTGTTTGTGAGAGAATTGCTGATTCTTTCATATCATGGTAAACATGTGATAAACTTATGTTCTTAAACGAGATCTATTTGGATTTGTATCATGCTATGTATCGCTCTTCATATATGAGTCTGATATCGATTGTTTTTTAGGGTTCCAATGTATAGTGAAGCTAAGTTGGCATTCTACATATACTTGTGGTTTCCCAAGACAAAGGTTGTTGGTCCCTTCTGTCATGATATAACATTTCCTTTGGTTTGACTTATTTTTCTTTGCATTATATTCAGAGTTTTCACATCTCTTCTTTGTAACTATGTAGGGAACGACCTATGTCTATGAATCATTCTTCAAACCATTGGTTCAAGAGCACCGAGAAGAGATTGATCGCAATTTGGAAGAGTTGAAGGCTCGGGCTGGAGATACAATATTTTCGTATTGGCGTAAGGCTGCTGGCTATGGAAAGACGAGATTTTTGGATATACTAGCGTATGTTGCTGCACAGTCAACTGCATCGCCGCCCTCTGCACCGGTATGTATGAGGACAATATTTCAATCATAATCATGCTCTATCTCTTTGTATTCTTTGTGCCTAATTGTGTGTGCATCTGGTAGAGCTTACTTTGGAGCATATAATAGTAATTAGTTTTTTATGCTCCTAAATTATTTACAAAAGTATCCCCAACTTTTTATGAATATTTCTAAACGACTCATCTCTCATTTAAGTCACTTCACAAAAAATACTTCAATAAGCAGCTTATAAGTTAAAAATTACTTATCAGCAACAAGCCAATAAAAAACACCCCCTACAACTTTGAGTTTCTAGCTTCTTACTTTACAGCTTGAGCTGTTTTGCAGCTTTTCAGCTATGCTTGCCAAACTGACTATCTATTCATTTGCATATTATGGGTCCATTTACGTTTTTTTTTTCATTTTCCATTTTATGTTTTTTATTTTCCAAAAAAAAGAGAAGATAATCATCCAAATAAGGTTCATTTTTGGTTGACTTTGGAAATCATTTTATGAAAACTCCTATTTTCCGAACAACCAAACATCCCAGTAACTATGTTAACACTATGTTTGGTTCAAGGAAAAGAAAATGAGAAGGAAAACGGTTTTCTTGTTTCGTTAGAGAGGAAAAGAAAAGAAAAGTGGAAGGAAAAGAAAATGAGAAAGCAAAAAATACTAAGAGGAGGGAAAAACAATCCTCCCATTTTAGTAAGGAAAATAAGGGAAAACTAGTTTCTTTTATTTTCCTTTCAAATTCCTTGAACCAAACATAGTGTAAAAAAGGCTCTTCTAGTTGTCTGAAAGAAAAAAAGTTAAAATTAGATAGCATTTCACTTTTCCTGAATTCGGGAAACAAACTAATCATGTTTTTTTAATTTGAAAAACAGAAATGCTAAATGTGCTTTCTGTTTTTTTTAGTTTTCCAAAAACAAAATCTTTTCTTATATTTTTTTTCCAAACAGGCATGTTATGTGATCCTTTAGTAGTTTTCTTTGATTCTCCATGCTTGCCCTGCTCTCTCTTAGAAGTTCTTAATTAAGCTTGAACCTTTTCCTTTAGAGGTCAAGCATCCTTTGTAGTGTACTATTGTACTTAACTGTATCCAACAGACCAACACATTTTATGTTTTTGAAAAAGGGCAGCACAGTTGGGGATGTTGAACTAACTTTGACTTTTAGTACTCGTTTGGTAGAATAGTTTTTCTGATTAGATCAGCCATGTTTTCTATCAAACACTCATTTAGTATTTCTCTGCATTTGCTGAATTGGTTGGGTATGGCTAAGAAAGTAGTCCAAAAGTTAACTTCTTTGCTAAAATAGATGAAGTGGGTGTGAATGACACTTCTGCACTCATTTTTAGATATCATTTTTCTCTCCTTATTAAGGTAATGTATCTTAAACACTCATTTGGATAAACTCAGCAAATACACCCATATCACTCACAATGCAAGCAGATTAAGTCACTTCAGATGACATTTATCAAGCAGGCTCTTTGTTTTTCTGTTGATTTATGATTGAATCATAATATGGACAGATAGTGATCCTGCATTGAACTCTTTTTTTTGTATAATTTTAAATAAACAATTAATCAATTGCTTTGAATTCTAGCCACGAAGGCAAGGCAGCAACAAGGTTACCCGGCCTGCTGCACCGCCGCTGAAAGAAAAATCAAAATCTGCGAAAGAGACGCAAACGGAAGAGCAACCATCTTCTCCTCCTTCGAGCGAATCATCAAGCGAGCACGAAGAGGCACCTCCAACCACAGCTCAGCCTGCTGCCTCTTCCTTGAATGCTCAAAAAACCACACCGACAAAAACAATTACCGAAACCAGCAAAGCTTCTTCAAGTTCCAGCGAAGCCCAAGTGCAGATTGTTACCGTGCACCTTTCATCTTCATCGTCATCAGATGATAAAAGCACCAGACCCGTGTCTGCCGAACCTGCTGTTGTGGAAGAGGACGTGGGCCGTGTTACTCGAGCAAGGTCAAGGAAAAAGGGTCCTACAGCTCCCGAAATCTCCCAAAAAAATTCGAAGTAAACGACTCCTTTTAAGTGTCTGGTGAGTTCTCCTTGCTCTTTGTGAAATCTGTTTGTGGTAATATGAAAAGAAAAATGCTTCTTATTAGATCTCGCTGTATCAAATTATCAATGTATATCTTTAAAAATTTAAGCTGTTCAAATGTCAAGGTCTCATTGTCTTCGTTCGTTTACCCATGACTCTCTAGTGTTATTTTTGTCCCTAATTGGAAACAATGTAGAAGTATAGTTATGCAGAGGTTCTTTTTTTTGTTCCAAGGAAAAGAAAAAATTGCCATCTAACGTGTTAATTCTTTAATACTGTTGAATGCTAATGGACGAAGAAAACGCAGTAGATAGGATCGACATGGAGTCAATTTACTAGTATTGTCTATTAGTACTATCATAATGTGTTTAATTGTGAAAATCTCCCATATATTTTCTCACCAGTCCTTTTTATTTGTCCATCATAGATATTCTCAATACCTTTTTTAACAATTAAAATATCACAATTATCCTCACTTAGGAGCTGTTTGTTTCAGCCTCTTAATGGTTCAGATGTTTGAATGGTTCGGCACTTAATGGTTCAGACTGTTTGTTTCAGTCTCTTAATGGTTCAGATGTCTAAATGGTTAAGAGATTTGCCTCTGAATGGTTAAGTATTATACAGAGTCTGAATGATTAAGACCTCTTATCTGAATTGATCAGACATTTGCTTCTGAATAGTTAAACAATATACTAGCTCTTTATGGTTCAGACCTCTTACTCGTTCAGCACTTAATGATTCAGACCTCTTACTGGTTCAGCACTTACCTATTCAGAAGTTACCAAACAGCCCCTTACTTTACTTATTACACCTCACTTGTCTTATTTAATACACTCTACCTATTTTCATTAAGGGTATTATGGTAAACTTATAGTACTTTTTTTCAACCCTCGTTAAAAATCATAAAAAGTCAAAACGAAAAGATCTTTGCACGAGAAGTACTATCTTTGATCGAACCAAAAAAATAAAAACTGTATAAAATGTCAACCGGGATGGTTTGATGTTTTGTCTTATTTTATTTGTTTAATTTTTTATACCATTTAATTTGGAGTAATAAACAATTAGGAGTAATTTGTTGCGGAAAATACTCGGCTATCGAGTCGAGCAACCGGGCTTGAGCCGCCTCCTCGGCACCGAAAATAGCTTCTTTTTCATCATCTCCTACCATCCCCCATTCACCTGGCGGACCAGCATTGCCCGGCTCCCGTCTCCGTCTTGTGCCCCGCCGCTGCTGGCGGCGGTCCGGATGCTAATTGGCTTGTTGGATGGAACCCGTGGGCGGTGGCCGATGATGGCGGCTGGGAGGGGGCGGAGAGGCCGGCGGCACCGACAGTGAACGCTTACCTGTTTATTCATTATTGCATAGTTTCCCACATCATATTTTTTAACAATACTTTTTTCTTTATAAATGGCCAGCCGAATGATCTAGTAGCCAATATTATGAACAAAGGCTTGGTTTGAAATAATGATGATTAAAGCCAGAAGATATCATTCTTGAACTAATTAAAATGAAAAAAATATATACACTTTTCTTTACAATTATTTCAGGCATGATATCTCCTGGGCTATTCCTCTTTCTTTAAGAGATAATTTTGTCTCTTAATTTTTGGAAATTCAAACAATGGCCTTGTGGAGTACTTTTGATTTCTTTTATACGTGTAAAAGACTAATTTCCAAAATGGTCGAGCTGTTCTCTCAAATTAGTGTTTAATAAATTTTAATTGCCTGCATGATCCTCTATAATTTAGATTTATTACCAAGATATTCCTTTGTAAATAGTGTTACTTAAATGATGATTAATTGAGGAGTATTTTGGTATTTTTATCCGCTAAATTTAGAATAAGTTCTTAAAATGATCAGTTGTAATGAAGTATTCCCCCAAAATGGTTTTTTTTCTAATTAAAGATGTGTATTTGATTAAAAATTTAAAAGATTTTTTTATAAGTTTTTAATAATTCATTGATTATTTATACTCAATGTTTTTTTAGTTTTACATTAAGTTGTCCTGAAATGACCGTTTCGAGAATATGCTTTAAATTTGGATGATAAAAATATTAAAATACCACTCAATTAATCATTATTTGAGTAAGATTATTCACGAATGAGTGAATGACTATTTAGGAAATAAATTTCAACTATAGATGACCACATATGTAATTAAAATTTATTGAGGACTGAATTGAGAAAACATCTTAATACAAAGTACTATTTTGGGACTTTACTCTTAAAGAGTAAATACTCCATATTTCAAATATCACACTTCCCACGTTCCGAAGTATTTGTCTACTTTTGATTTTTTTGGTCAAAATTGGTAAACTCTGATCTCATATTAAATAAAAATAGTACTCCCTTCGTCCCAAAAAAATTGGGACAGTTTGACCAAAGTGGCAAATTAAAGAATGCTTTTTTGGCCCCTGACGTTCCCAAAATACCCTCAAAAGTAAAAGTTGTAATGGGGCTAATCAAATAAGTGAATAGTGTATAATAACATTAAAATAAGATTAGAGTACAAATGGAAGTACAATTTCATTAAATGACTTGTGGTACACATTCATGCTTACACGAGCAAATTGTCAGGGCAAAAACATCCAAAAATTTTTGAGTTTTTTTGGGAAATTAGTTTCCCTCCATACTAATCCCTCCAAAACAAAAAAAAAAACAGAACAACACCTTCTATTTAAGACATTCATTGAATGCCAAACATTTAAAGCTCTTTCTTTTTTAGTTTTCCTTTCCAACATGGCACATTCCCCCATGGTGTCATCCTCTACTTTTTCTACTAATTCCATTCCCTTTTCAGTAGAAGAATCAACTTCACTTAACCATCTTCCTCCTCTAATTGAGGTGCCTTTTTCCAGCTTTAGAACTCTTGAAACAAAGACAGAAATGAATAGCAAGGTGTGCTACAAAATCAAACTAGAAAAAAGGTTGCTGACTTTTTACTACAACATGTAAGGGATATATGGCAAACTTCAGCATGGTAGCATCAATAAAATTGCTAATGAACTCAACATATGTTGGAAAACAGTAAGCAGAATATGGTCCATAGCTAAAACTCAATTGGATGTTGGTCAACCCATTGATGTTCAATGTCAGTGGAAAGGAAAGTGTGGGAGAAAAAGAACACCTATTGACATAGAAAAGATGTCAGTTGTGCCTTTTAATAGGTGAAAAAATATGTGTACACTTGGATATGCTATGGAGGTCTCAAAATCAACTTTCCATAGATGGCTTCAGTGGAAACGAAACAACAGGAGGCATTCCAATGCCATTAAGCCACTTCTAAGTGAAGAAGGTAAACTTAAAAGGCTTAAATCAATGTTGGAAATATTTGATAAATTGGACAATTTTTGACATAAATTTGGTAGGGTCCACAAAATTATTTTCCGAAATAATTATGGACGTTTAATCTCGTAAGTAAGACGAACGTCTCGACATATGACACGCCATAAACGGTGCTCGGGTGAATACGAGGGTAGAGTAAATACCCTTGTCCCACACCGGGTTTTAAACCTTTCACATTCTCATATTTAAGCTTAGGCTTCTAATTGAGCTTATGAAAGGAACAAGAAGAGGACTCCTCGCGTGCCCGCCGCGCCGTGGTCCGGCTCGGCACGTCACGACACACGCGCGGCGGGGCAGGGCGCGCCTGCGGCGTGGCTAAATTTTTACGAGATCAAAACAAACACGCGTGTACGCTTCGTTAATAACGAAGTGAATAGAATTATGGCATGCATGCATCCATTCGAAGGGTTGCCGATGACTCCTCGGAAGTTCCGCCAAGACTGTCCAGGTACGTCCATATCATATCCTATATAAGGAGTGGTCTGTTTGCAGTAGAGTACCACGAAGAAAATTCGAAATCCAGTGTTCTCTGCGTCCAACTCTTTCTCCCCATTCCCGATAAAATACTCCGGCAATAACTTCATCTTTCTCGTTCGACGGTGCACGGTTCTACCGCCCTAGACCTTGCACGAAGCGGTTTTATCCTGGGAGGAGATTGCTCACGTTTGCCAGTGCGGGAGGCGGGCAATACTACCTTAAGGAAAGCTCTGACGACTCCGCTTTCCTTACCTTTACTTCGAGAAACTGCTCCGGCGACACACAACCCTCTGTCCGAAGTCACCACCTTCCTGTCCGTTCGTGTTCCTCCATTCCGTTCGAGCGTCCAAGAACTCCAATTTTGTTTTCTTTATTTCCGTTGTAAAAATCCGAACGTTTTATAAGTTCGGATTAATTAATTTTTATTTTTTTTACTTTTTCCCGCTGTAATATTCAACAATCAATCCCCTTGAACCCAAACTTTCATGACTTTTATGATCACATTCATATTGATGAAAAGTGGTTTGAGATCAGCAAAAAGAGCACAACATTTTATGCATTACCAACTGAAGCAGACCCTTATAGGACAGTTCAAAACAAAAGTTTCATACCCAAAATCATGTTTTTAGCCGCTGTTGGCAGGACAAGGTATGAGGATGATAGGGAACTTATGTGGGATGGCAAAATAGGCATATTCCCTTTCACTTAGCAGAAGCTCAAAGGGCCAACAAAAATAGACCTGCAGGGACTATGGAAGTGAAACATATCCCTAACATCACTAGAGAGATCATGCGGAGGATGTTACTTACTAAGGTACTGCCTGCAATAAAGGAAAAATGGCCAGGTTCATCCAGGAATATTCTTATCCAACATGATAATGCCAAACCACATGTGGATGGAAATGACCCTCCATTTGTTCAAGCAGCTGAAAAAGGAGAGTGGAACATTAGGCTTAAATTCCAACCTCCCAATAGCCCAGATCTTAATGGATCTTAATGTACTGGATCTTGGGTTCTTTAGGGCCATTGGTTCATTGTAGGACCAATCAGCTCCGAGGTTATTAGAAGACTTGATTAATGCTATAACAACATCATTTGAAGAACTGTCACATGAAAAGTTGAATAATGTATTCTTAACCTTACAAGGGGTCATGGGTCAGGTTCTAGACACCAATGGAGGGAACCAGTTCAAAATCCCTCACATTGGGAAAACCAAACTCACCAGAGAAGGTAGACTGCCACACAACTTAGGGGTCAATATTTAAGTCTTTCAGAAGGCACACACATTCTTACAGGAAAGGATGTGAGTACTCTTCTTTTTGGATCTTTTTTTTGTATGTGCAAACATGGTCAGTGGAAAGCACAATGCCTAAATGCACTTCCAATTGAAAACCATTTTGCAACATTTTTGTAAGCCAAAGAAGAAGTGTAGTAACTAACTGACATAGACTTAAGGCTTGTATGTATTGTGTAGCATCTATTATATCAAGTTCAAGTATGACTCTTTTTGTAGCATCTGTTTTATGAAATTCAAGTAAGACCAGTGTAGCATCTATTATATCAAGTTCAAGTATGACTCTTTTTGTAGCATCTGTTTATGAAATTCAAGTAAGAGCAGTATAGCATCTGTTTTATCAAGTTCAAGTAGAGTAGTGTAGCATATGTTTTACCCTACAGCAGGTGTTTTATCAAATTGGAGGTCACATAACCTAACAGAGAACAAGGGTAGACCAAACGCAAAGACCAATTGAGTATTGTAAGTCTCCAACTTATACAGGGTGACATTACAATATAGCTTCAAACACAAATAAAGCTCACATATATCCAATGAGTAAGAAAATTGTAATTTCGCATCATAAGTTTGCCAATGAACACGGAAGAGGGACATTCAAATAGCATGTGTAATGTTAATTAAAGGAGCAGAGAGAGAATACTTTGTCTGAAGCGTCGTCCCTTAGCTTCATCTCCAAGGGCTGAGCAAAAAAAAATAAGTATCGGACATCTCTAGGATGCGCTCAGACGTAACAAATTCTTCATCCTCCCCGTCCTCTTCCTTAGATATTTCTTTATCCTCCGACGGGAAATAGTCTTTCCAAGATAATTTTTACGATACCACCCGCTTGGATCCATATCTAAAGTTCCAGATCCACTATCTCTAGAGTCATATTTAGGCATTCAATGCTTCAAAGAACTTCTACTTCGCGTAGGATTACATGTTTCCTCATCTGTATTGCTTAATAGCTTGAAGCTTGGCATCATAGGGTCACGAATCACCATCACTGGTGATTCGAATTCGAAGTAGGAGAGTGGAAAAAATATGAGAAGATAGAGAATCCTAGCCTGTGTATATAATTATTTTTGGATGAGTATAGCAACACCTTTATTTATTATGCACGGAGTATAACTGAACCAGAAAACAAGACTTTCCATTAACTGAATAATGAGTGCGGATAGCCAAAATAATGTGAGATATTACAAAATAATGTGGATAGCCAAAATAACCTTATTAAAGTTACAGCTTACACACTTGAAAAGCATTACAAGTTTACATTATATAAAAAACAACACCGTATTTGAACCAGATATAATCGGGGGAAATGGTGAATCCGAAGAAACCCGGGAAGAAAATAAATCAATAAACAAATAAATAAATCAGTTAAGCTGCTGCATCTTCTGGTCAGTCGTAGTACAAATCCGTGTACCACTCAAAACATACCCACCAAAGGCACTCATCTGCATATGCGGGTGGGTTCTTGACGGTAAGACCTGCGCACGTTACCAAAGCCATACATGTCTTAAAAATGCACAAAGGCATAGCAAACCATTAATTAACTCAAAGTGTATGAAGAAACTCACAGACCTGATACTCGCGAAGCCAAGGCTCAGACAATTGTAAGCCAATTGCCAGTTTCTCCGTTTGCAGGTTGTGCATGCAGGTGGCTAGAGGCTGGAAATCAATGTATTCAAGAAATGCAGTGTCTCATACAGTGTTATTTAAGGAAAAAATTTACTCCATATAGTTCAAATATAATCCCAAATTAAGGCCAAAACAGAAATATTCAAAAGTGCGAGACAAACGATGGCCTGGAGAACCAACCGACCTGAGCATACTGATGGTAGACTGCAAACGGAGCAGAAAATGACAAAAGAGGGATAAGATCTTTGACAAGACTCCAAGGATCCATTTCTGGGGCGGCAACTATTAAGCTATTAAAAATCACAAAATTAAGTCTTAGCAAATAAATAAATAAATAAATAAAAGCAAAAGGGTAACAAGAATATTTATTCGACCTGGAAAAGCCATTTTCTTTCCATGAGGAAACTGCTTCAAGTGATGCCTTCCCTCCAGTTTTTGGAGCTTTACACGGTTTTTTTACAATCTCAGGTGTAATGTCCATATTCCCATTATCTGAAGAGACACCAGCGGCCTCTTTTACCTTGTCCTCTGAAGCTCCAGTTTGAAGCGTCAACAGATCATCCAATGAAGCGTGCACAATCCTAGAGGATAAACACATGATAACAAACTACGTATGCAAAAATTGAAATGAATATGGTATAAAAACAGACGTTCTTATGGATGGGTGGATATACCTTCTGCAAATTTCATCACTAAAATTAAACGTCCTTGTGATATCAATAGGATATGGAACACTTCCAAGATAAGTGTTGCACACATAACCAGTACCTATTACACGGATTGCCATGAGCAAGTGCAACTAAATAGAATTTGCAGATAAAAAGGTATTGAAAATGGTGAGTATCCCACATCAGTTGTCTGTTTGGTTTGAGCATAAAAAGGTCTGGTGCACAAAGCATCTCTGCTGAGGGAGGGTCTTGTGTAACACAGTATATGTTTCCAATCGACATATTTAATGTAAAATACCATACCTCCCATACGCTCAGCAACAGCACCAGTAAGTAAACCTCCAACCTTGTCCACTACAAGTACATCAGCATGTGCAGTCACATTTGCCATAGAAAGCAAAAGAGATAAAGTGTCCACTCGCAAACACCTGACAAGCATGGGAAGAGAAAATTATAAATAGTTCTATTAAAATATGTAAGAACCATACCCTGCAAAGAGTCCATCTCTCCCTAACATTCTAAAAGACCATTATAACTTGGAAAATACAGAGGGAATTAGGAAAGAGAACAACACCAAACCCAGTATAATCTCAACTTCATTGAGGTTTGGGGTCAAAATTTATGAAACCTTACCCATGTAAAAAAAATAGAGGAAAAAAGTAAGAAGGAGAACAAAGTGGAAAATTAGAAGGAACAAAAATGCAGAAGATTATAGAAAGGGATGAAATTCAATTAAATTATACCACGTATTATGTATTTGTTGATACTCATTTTATATATTTAGAACTATTATATAGAAAGTGAAATCTAAATATACGTGAAATTTAACAAAAAATAATCTTATTTTTGCGTTCCTTTGCGATTCCCAAGGTAAAAACAAGCATAAGAAAATAACTTTGTTTGGCATTTTCCCACTTTCCACAATCCAAACATGACCTAAATGTGAAAGGAAATAAATTCTCCTTTTTTTCAAAACATGGCAAATTATGAGCTATTCTATTTTTTTAAGGCTATATAACCATGAACAAAAGTGAACAGAAAAAGGTATTAAACATAATGGGCAATAGTTTTCTTACCCAATTCTGTCAGGATACTTCTTGAAGTACGCCTCACATATGCTAAAAAATCAAAAAAGATACCGGTTAGCATTTTCAATGATTCATCCATTATATATATATAAAAAATAACTGTTTAAAAACTTTCGGTTTGTCATATAAGTTTCAGGATAAACTCAAAATTAAAGTTTGGAAAGCCCAAAATAATCATGTTGGAATCAACCTCCGTGCAGTGGGACGTCTAAGTAGTACTTTGGGTGCATACTTCTTCAGTTTCTTAAGCTTATATTTTTCCTGCAATTGTGGGGATAAGTAAATAATTAATGTATGTCCCTCTCCGACTCTCATATACTCTGTATATAAGATCAAGCATGAAAATCAAATCCCACTTGTGAAAACTGAGTCTTCTTCTCAAAAGTTGTGCTGTTTGCAATGAGAGCTTTTACTATTTCGTCCCCAGTCGCACCCTGTCTGCATCAAAGTAGTGATTAGCTACGATCTGATCAAAATCTGGAAAGAGATAGTACTTTCTCTATCCAATAAAGAACTATCTACATTCTTTTTCATCCATCTGGTTTCCTTTTAACGAAAGAAATACTCCCCCCATCCCACTATTTTTGGGACATGTGGTAGTGGTGCTCATATTAAAAAATTTGGAATTGTGAGGGTGAGATTGTTGTTAAAACTAAGAGGTAAGAAAAAGTAATAAATGAATGCAAGGCACACACGTATTACTGAATATGGTATATGACAAAACAACGGGACTGAAAAAAAGGTAAAATGGGACCAAAATAGTAAGATGCATGGAGTATGTTGTTATTTTTTCTTTCCATCCTCCATAAATCTCTACCACACCACTTCGTTTTTTAATAAGCATGCCAAAAACAAATGAGAAGCTAACTTATATATGTGAGGTGTATAAGTTCAGTAATCTTGAAGATCAAGTTATTAAATTCTATTGCAGAGCGGCAACATGTTGAGTTACAGCAAACGCGGGAGATAGATCCACATTCAACACCATGAAAAAATAAAAGCTTCTGAAGTTTAAATTTTGTTAAAGCTAGAAATATTATACCGGTAGGAAAATACAGTTACATGATACAGTAAAAGAGATTATGCAAATATAAATGCTAGGCATACGGGAATCAGGATCATGATATCTTTGCTAGTGAATCGCATGCTTGATGTAAAATGTATTTATATTAAATTTAAAGATGCAGATAAATCTTATTTCTACACTGATTAATTATGAATATCATGTGAGAAATAATCTCAAATTCAAACCTTCGCATTTCATGAATATCTTCACCAGTAAGACTTTGAGCTGTGTTATTATCAACTAGAGCTCGATTGTCCTTTGCGCTGTCTGTATCACGAAAACCACCATTTTCTGATTCGATATTATTCCCTGATCGTTATACAGTGCGAACAACGCAGAATTAGAGCAATATAATATCAATAATAATAATAATAGTAATAAAGAATAATAAAAAAACAATAACGGGTAAAAATTAAAATTGAAAACGAATACCTTCAATGGTATGAGAGACCCTAGACAAGATTGGCCCTCCTTCTCCACTCTCCACTTGAAACAGAGACCCGTACGGACAGCCTATCAGAGGCTGAAGGGAGTAATTCTTATCCCCTATTTTCAAATTCCTGCAAAATTCATTCAATTTTCCTTGCTAACAACAATCAACGGAGAAAACATATAACTACATGGCTCAGATATGTTCACAAAAAACACACAAACAAAAACAATTTATTTCCAGGAACTCAAAACTCAATTGTAAAAATTGCGGTTTTTATGAAGAACTTACGCGGCAGGAGTGAGGCGGGCGAAAACCAATCGGTCTCCATCGTTGATATCAAGCAATACACTGCATCCTTCCGATGTGACTCTGGGATTGAGGTTTTGGCTATGGTTTGATTGTTCAGGAATTGCTTCAATGTTGTTGTCCATATTGTCCGGATGATTGAAACTATACTTTCCTTCTTCTTCTTCTTCTTCTTCTTCTTCTTCTTCTTCTTCTTCTTCTTCTTCTTCTTTTATAAGGTTAGAAATAGAGGGAGCGAAGGAAGACTGAAGAGAGGGATATACTGTAAATGAGGAGGAAGAAGGGCGGAGCGGGAGGGAAGATGATATATAACCATGTAGACTTGAGTCCAATTGCAGAGTGTTGGGCTGGGGTCCATATCTTTACCGGCCCAATATCATTCAAAGAGGATAACTAATCAATACCATGTATCTCTTACTGTACTTTGTCCGTACCGATACCGTACCAAATATATTGGTTCGGAATGAGATTTTACATCGTATCGATCCTGATCCCGAAATATCAATTCGGTATGGTTCGGAATGGTTCAGTTTCGGTTTCGGTAAATATTGGAACGAAATATATATATATATATATATATATATATATATATATATATATATATATATATATTTACCTAGTTTATACTTTGGAATGTACAAAACTTTTTATTTAAAAAAAATTGAAAGTGCATTCAAAATAAAGTAAGATAAACAATTGGAAAATGAATAATAGAATGCAAAAATACTTATAAAACTTAGTTTAATTTATACTTCATATTTTACAAACAAAAGAGAATGAATGATAAGAAAATAATATTTTAAATATTTGTTAAATTTTGTTATATAAATCTACAAAAAATAAAATTCAAATAAATGATTATATAAATAAAGGATTATTTGTAATTCATCTACACTTGAACCAACTTTTCAAAATCAATTTGTTTTTGAATGAAGAAATATAAAAACATTGTTCTTTTTAGAACATATTTGTATATATATTCGGTTTGGGATTTTTCGGTATGAGAAGTTACCTCGTACCGATCCCAAATACTAGACCGATCATTCGGTTCGGTATGGTACGGTTCTTTTTTGGTATTTTATCGGTTCGGTAATCTCGGGTTTTTCGGGAAATTTCGGTATCGGTTCGGTACGTGCTCACCTCTACCCTTCTTTCTTATCTCGAATTAAATTTTCATTTTAATTCTACATATTTTAAAGTTCATCGAGTAAATTTCACTACTACTTCCGTCCCAAAGTATTTGTCCAATTTAACTTTTTCGAGTCAAACTGGACAAACTTTAAACTTCAATTATTCTCAATTTGTATTACATATTAGCATAATGAAATACAATTTTGAAAGTTCTCAATACGATAAATCCAAAAAAGTCATTTTTATATTAAAATACTTTACGGTTTTAATTTAAATGAAGATCAAAGTTTGTCTAGTTTGACTCGAAAAAGTCAAACTGGACAAATACTATGGGACAGAGAGAGTATATCCAGATTCAACCCGACTCCAAACATGAGCACTTGAACCCGGCCCAAATAATAATATTGGGAGTTGGTCTATTATGTCCCACCTATTATTTTACTACACTAATTATTTGTATTTAGGACCAAGATGCTTAGCTCATTTTATAAACCTGAAAAAAGCCATCATGATATTTATCGCACCAAGAACATCTCCAATCATTCCATTTTGGCTTGCTAAAAGTTATGATATAGCAAGCCAATCATTTTTTTCATCTCCAATGGTTGTGTTATATTATAACAAGCTTGCTAAATAATGAGGCTGACTTGCTAAATATAACAAGTTTTCTAAAATATAGCAAGCTAAGAGTTGTAAAATGGATTATCAACTTATGGTTGGAAAATGAAACAAAAAATTGCTTGCTATATCATTATTTACTTGTTAAAATATAAAATTAGCAAACCAATATAGTAAGCATGATTGAAGATGCTCTAATTAAATTGACTAGAAGTGAGGCGAAACCCTACATCATAGGCATGAACAAAGTGCTTGTCTGGGCCGGTTTTGGTTTTGGGACTCTCGACTCCCAACATCGTAAAGGGTGGCAATAGCATCATCATCAGTAGTCGGTGGTACTGTATCAGACCGGTTTTTGAGTGGTTTTCAATCAAGCACCGGTTACTGGATATTTTTTTAATTTAATTTACTTTAACATTGCAAATTCTTTGTTTTGAAAAATAAAATGTGAATTAAAGTATGCAAATCATTGAAAATTTTAATTTAGTAAATTATTCAAGAAAATACTTTAATATTTTACAAATTACAACTTATCAAACGAAGTAATAAAAAATTAAATTTAATTGCAAATTTAGTTATTTGTATATTAGATTGTTCTTCTGAAAACAAAGATTATCCCTTCTTTTTTTAAAAGAAATAATAACAAATAAGTAAAAATTTATTCCAACCATGATTGTATTCTATTTCTACCAAATATGTTAAACATAACAACAACAACAACAACAATAATAACAATAATATGTAACACGTGAAAATGATGAAGTTGCATCATTAAACACTTTCAACACATATGCAATTTTTTCATATGTAGATTTCATTTTGACATATGTTGAAATCTAATAGGAGTGTCATATATACCTGAATATTTGATCAGTTTTGACTTTTTGTAGTTAAAATTGACAAATTTTGATCACTAATTAAACAAAATTGATACTTGCTCTATCCTATTTTAAATTATTTGTTGTTGTTTACGATGTTTGACTGAAGTTAATCCTGAAGTTCCAGTAGCTCCGTCGATCGTCTACCATCCACCATCATTGGTTGTTTGTGGTGTTGTAGGCTACCCGCCACCTTGTCGCTTGTGGCCAGTGACTACTCCGTCTATCATTATTAATCATATCAATTTTCAAATATGTGTAAATAAATTTTATTTTCGATTTTAAAATTTATATAATTTCTTTCATATTTGAGATCATATAAGACTTAGTTCATTTAGTTAACTCTTAATAATTATTATCACCATGACTCTTCTAACATTGATTTTCAATGTCATATTATTAACATCAGATGGTTTTATTGACATTGAGAGGGCATTCGACAGGATGTCGAGGAAAGTTTTGTGAAGGTTCATTGAGTCGAGAAAGATTCTGATAGCATATATTCACGCAGTCGGAGATGTGTACGAGTACAAGCTAAGATAAAGACTGTCAGAGATGTCTTAAAACCTTCAGCTGTAGATGTGGGGTTACACAAGGGGTTTACCCTTAGCCCATTCTTGTTCGTCTTGGTGATGGATGTCTTGACACAAGGAATCCAATGGGAGGTCCCCTGGAGCATATTTTTTTGCCCACAATATTATGCTTATAAACAAGGGGGACTAAACAATAAATCGGAACTTTGGTATCTTCCCATGAAACCAAAAGGTTTTAGACTAAGTAGGATTAAGTTTGAATGCATGAAATGTTACTTTAGTAGTCTGGAGACAGTATCAAGGGTGGAAGTTTGGATTAATTCTCATCAAGTGCCCATGATAGACAAGTTTCAATATCTGACTCGATCTTTCAAGTGGGTGGGGAGTTGGACGAGGATGTTGCAATCAAGTTGGAGCGACTTGGACTAAATGAAGGCTGGCTTATAGGGCATTGCATAATAAGAAGGTTTTGGCTAGGATGAAAGGTAAGTTCTACTGTCTCGACATGTTGTACGGTGTTTAGTACTGGGCAGTTAAGAAAATCTAAGTCCGTCGAGTGTATGTTGCAGAGATACAGATTTTGCATTGGATGAGTGGATAAATGGGGATGGATAGGATTCAGAATGAGATTTTCCGAGAACGGGTGGGCGTGGCACCTGTGAAAGATAAGCTGCAGAAAACGAGGCTAAGGTTGTTTGGGCATGCGAGTCGTCAAAATATTAATACCCTGGTGTGGAGATGCGAGAGACTTAGGTTGGAGGGTGTGACTAGGAATAAAGGTAGACCTAAGAAGTATTGAGAGGATGTGACTACACATGATTTGAGATTTTTTGCCTTTATTGCTGATTTGACATTATAATATGAGCGTTTGGAAGGCCAAGATTATGATAGTTGGGTAGAGGCTTTAGACTAGGTGATGGAGTGATGGTTTCTGCACTTGTTGTTGTAATGTGCTCGTATATTGTTTATTCTACTTGAGTTATGGAGTCTCTTGAAACGGTCTTTATTCTTTTGAGTAGGGCTAAAGTTTACGTATACACATCATTCCTAAATCCTACACTCGAGAATTCAAGTGGACTAAAAAAACGTGGTTCTGAACTTTTTTAAACTTTATTCTTTTCTTAAAAAAAAGAAAAGTCATGTCCCCTATCCACACATCCAATTGTACCCATGGTCAACACAAAAATTCAATTTGCCAACAAACTCTAGAGGTACAATTAGACTGGATAGAGCAGAGAATTTAGGGGGGCAAGGACTACTTTGGGATTGAATTGAGTACAACAAGTCCCCTCCTGGACAATAACAACACTCTGAATCCTGAAATTGGACGCCTCTTCATCCTCTCACACGCATGCAACATTATTATTCTTTCATATCAGTTCCGCCCCTTTTTTTGGTTCGTTTCTATCTCGTCTCGTTTAGATACTCCGTATTTCTCCATCTATCGATCATCATCTTCTTCATAATTCATATTCTTTTTTCGGAAAATTTCTAATTGAGAGTTGAGCTGAATTCGAGTTCAGGTTCAGACCTGCTAATTACGGAGTATCATTCATTGTTTCCGATCGCGGCGGCGGCATAAACCTTTTCGGGCTTGTTTGGTTCCACAGAGGCGGTTCCGCCGGTCCTATATATGTACAATTGTAATACAGGGCCAGGATTGGGAATTGGAAGACCTAGGTTTTCATCGGAATAGCCATGGCTGCTGCAACTGAAAGACATGCCATCGGGAGACCCACAAATCCGATGGTTACTCCTCTCTTGACGGACCTCTACCAGTTTACCATGGCCTATGCTTACTGGAAAGCTGGTAAACACACTGAGCGAGCCGTGTAAGCCCCCCTATTATCTCTTCTGTTTTTTTAAAAGTATTATGTTTGCCTGTGATTTCATTTGCCTTGTGTGTGTGTTTAATGATGTGCTTGATGAATTAACGCCATTATTATTGATGCAGAATGTTTTTGTGGCAAGAATTTGTTTTGATCTAATGGTTATAATGTTGTTAAGTGTATTTTTATATGCAACACTTTCAGGAAGATTACTGTTTCTTAAATAGAAATAATGAAATTCCAATTTCAGGCTTTTTTATGCATTTGTGGTTGCAACAGTATATTTGTCTTAGATTATTGATTCAATCGCTCAATCCATCTGCCATTACTTCTGCTCACATTTTGTTTCTCTTACTCTGTGTATAAAATATGTAGAAATGTTTTTGTTCTGATCTTTTACTCTTCGTCATGTGGTCCTAATCTCCGAATACCAATATTTTGCAGCTTTGACTTGTATTTCCGGAAGAATCCGTTTGGGGGAGAATACACAATTTTTGCAGGGTTGGAAGAGTGCATAAAGCTTATTGCTAATTTTAAACTTACAGAGGACGAGATTGCCTTCCTCAGAGAGTCATTGCCTGCAACGTGTGAGGTAACTCACCACAGACACCATTATCTTGTAAGAATGTTTCATGTGCATTCAGGGTAAAATTAAAACAGATCTAGACAGGCATACCTAAACTAGATGAGTTGAGAAGGGTAGCTAGGTTGGTTAGGCATTCGCGAATGCACATCGAATTTGCTTATGCTTAGCACACAATTTCTTATAACTTATAAACGTCTCTGGCGGATTCTAGGATGGGTTCTTTGAGTACCTACGGAACATTGACTGTTCAGATGTTGAAATATACGCCATATCTGAAGGATCAGTCGTCTTCCCTAAGGTGCCACTAATGAGGATTGAAGGACCAGTTGCTGTGAGTATCTCTTTAAATTACATTTCTCATTGTTTATTGTCAGGTTTTGTTCTTGTTATAATGTCTTCATTATCTTCTCTAGGCGGTTCAACTGTTGGAAACGCCATTTGTAAATCTCATAAATTATGCATCCTTAGTTACCACCAATGCTGCAAGGCATCGCTTTGTTGCTGGGAAGGGTAAATTACTTCTTGAATTCGGACTCCGACGAGCGCAGGTTACTTATTTTAAATAACTTATTTTCAATGTTTGGAGTAGTTAATAGTTCATTGCTGAACTTCAGTTTGTTTTTCGTATAATAGGGCCCTGATGGTGGTATAGGGGCATCAAAGTATTGCTACATGGGAGGATTTGATGCAACTAGGTAAATCCCATTAGATATTTGTGGGGATATATATATATATATATATATATATATATATATATATATATATATATATATATATATATATATATATATATAAAGTTAATATCATGGATCCTATTGTATTTTCCCTGGATTCTTAGACTACTTAATCTACTCTATAGATTTTCAGCAATAATTCTCTTCAATATTAAGCAGCATCAAATTTGGTTAGTTTGTCTAACCAGTTGTGCCTCTTCCTATAATGAATTGTAGCAAATCATTCTTTTAAAATTTATTTGGAATCTTTTTTAATAATTTGACGCAGAGTGACATATTTTTAGCTGAAATCATATTTTGGGTTCATATGTGGACTTTATATGTGCCAATAAATGCATAATACTCTCATTTGGAACTATGCTACAGTAATGTTGCTGCTGGAAAGATATTTGGGATTCCGCTTCGTGGGACACATTCCCATGCCTTTGTTAGCTCATTTATGGTATGTGCAATCCCAAAAAATTAATGCTAGAAGTTTGCTTTTAAGTATTGGTTAGAAATCCCATTACTATAAGAACACCTTGATTTTCAAATGGTTTAGTGCTTAAAAATGAATTTTAATGGACAAATTGGAGGGCAGTTTAATGTTCCATTTTGGTTTGTCCATTATTTACCCGAAGCTAAAACATTCTTAGGGGATTATACTGGGGTTGTTGTTTTCATGTTGCATATTAACCTGTAAGCACTAAAGATAAGCCACACATCTGTTATTGAACACGCACCATTTTTAATATTGTAAAAAATTTATTATGATGTTCAAATATGATTGGTCACTTCTTTACCCGTAAGGACATACTATAGTTTCTTACGTGGCCAAGTGATTGCAGAGCCCAGACGAGATTGTCGAGAAATCCCTTCATAGGAGTGATGGTTCTAGCGTCTGTGATGACTTTGTTAGTCTAGTGCAAGCATGGTTGAATAAATTGAAGGTGCTTAGCAATCACAAACTGCCTGATGTTTTTTTAACTATTTGATTGGCTGATGCATACCTAATTTGTTATTTGTTCTTCAATTGTTCTTCATTTCCAGTGTTTCTTTAGCCACATAGGAGTAATATACGGAGTGTGTGTGTGTGTGTATATATATATATGTAATAATGATTGATAAGAGCCATGCTATTTTTCTCTGCTTCAGTTTCCCATGCAAGCCCACTAATTTCTGAAGTGTAGTGAACTCTATGTGTTATAGTGTTATATGCATAATATTTTTTTCTTGCCTTATCATATTTGTTTATGGGCTGTCAGTTCTGATGCCGCACATGGTTGAAATGATCAATGTCTGTTATAAATTACAAAACTAGTGTTCCATTCTGTTTACAATAATTAAGTTTCAAGAGCTCTAAAATTTGAAAAATAAGTTTTGTTTTGAAATCTCTAGGCACAATATACACTTTTCTCCCTAATCAGGCCTTCATTAACTACCTTTATTGTCCTTGAAAATTGTAATTATACTACTATGAGCCATTTTCACTCATAGGAATAATTACTGCGTATCATTTACTGCGCTGAGAATATTAAATTAAGGATGTTATTGTGTATCTTATATTTGTAAAAATCCTTAAAATGACCCTTTTGTGAAGCTTCTTACTCATTATCTCAATGATATACAACTAATATAGGTAACTCCAAGAGTTTAGGAGGTATGGCTCATCGAAACCAGACTAAACGAAGAGTGAAAGAACCGAGCTCCTGATGTGGAGTACCGAATCCTGTGTTTAGTTCAGTTCACTCTGCATTTGGTCTGGTTCGACCGGTGGTACCACCTTTCCCTGGGAGTGAACTCCATTAACAACTAACTCGTACTAACTCTGTTAACCATGACCGATGGAGTATGTTTTAAGTATGAACCTTGCTTCATCATTACAGAGTTTCTCCTCGAAGATTTGCAGTTAGTCTTTATTTCTACACTCCATATGGAAAACGATTTTCTGTCTACTTCAATTAGGCATTAGCTTAACATTGCAATACACACCCACATGACAAATACTAGTGGAACTTAAAAGCAGGCAAATCTCTCATTGATCTTGTTATGAGCATGAAATGATAAATTTTCATCTTGAATCTAATTTTATGTCCTGCACTTGTAAAAATCGTCCACGAAATATGAAAGAGTCTTAATATTCTAACTTTCCTCTTTGAGTTTCATGGCTCTTCTGTATTTGATAGAGATTTTTTTTCCCTGCTCCAAAGCTGCAAATTGTAATAAAAAGTTTTTTGGGTGCTTATCATCTACTTCATGTAAGATTTGGGGTACTGCAAGTTATGCCAATGCAAGAAGTGATAAGGAAAACTAAAAAAGTTTAGTGAGTTGAAAAAGTGTGTTAACGTCAGTAACTTTATGGATACATCCACTAAAGAAAGTGAAAAGTGGAAGAAGAATAAAACAAAGGGCGAAGAAACTGCTGTTATGGAAAAAATTGAACAGATTGATCCTGGAGGAACAGATATACAACTGCTGCTGAGGGAGGAGATAAACAGAGACTTCTTCTGCTGTGGGAAAACATAACTAAATGGTTCAATCTGCATTTACTTTTAGCATTGGAATTACTTGTATGACTCCAAATCACTTCATAGGAGTGATGACCCTAGGTGTGTGATGGCTTTGTTAGTTTGATGCAAGCATGGTTGAATATAATGAAGGTGCCTCCTGCCTAGCAATTACACAAAGTTCCTGATTTTTTGCATTAGTTTGCCTGATGTAATGCCTTTTTTCATTTCTGCTTCAATTGCTCTCCATTTTCAGTGTTTTCTTTATCATACACTGATAAGGATTGATGAGAATATTGCCCTTTATTTTGTGATTCTGCTCCCCATGCATGCCAAGCAATTTTCAATCATGACTTTGAATAAAACTTTCTTTGAATAGACACACATGCACCATTTATTTGACCCGTCTACTTGATTTCAGTGGTCAAACTTACTGGGTGGAACTTTTGGTGAGACAAATCAGAGCGAGTTAGCAGCATTCACATCGTATGCACTTGCATTTCCTGGCTGTTTTTTGGCCCTTGTGGACACGTATGATGTAAGTGATATTTGTCCTCTTTGTTCTCCAATTTACTGCATCTAAGCTGATTAATTCAGCAAAATGCTATTATCCATCTCCTCTCCCTGAAAATGCACACATAACCCCTCCCCCCGTTGATCGTTTGAGCGCTGAAGTTGGTTCAGTGCCCTGTTATAATTGCTTGGTATGCATGAATTGATTATTTCGTGTTCCATTATGTGCATTGTTAAGTGTCTTTATTTTGCTATTACGGTGCAATTTGAGTTAGGCAAAACACTACTTTATGTTGTTGGTGATCTGTTGTTTAAAACATAAATTTGCTTCACCAGGTTATTAGAAGTGGCATTCCGAATTTTTGTGCTGTTGCTCTTGCACTTAATGATTTGGGGTGAGTTCAAAATTTTTAAATTCATATTCACATAATGTTGTATTATGATACATTTAATATGAAAAGAATTCCGCACCAACAAGAAATATAACAAAATATAATCCCTGAATACTCTGTACTATTTTTTAGTTGTATGTAAATAGATCTATTTTTTCGAAGGAAATGAATATGTGGTTGATATTTTTTCTTTAATATATAAATAAATCTCAGCCATTCAATTCCTTAAATTGCCTGCTAAAAAGAAACGATGAAGTTTCTTTAGGGATGGAAGGAGTATATATTATTAACTATAAGCATATCATATAATAAGTTCTCTATGTTGTGTCATACGGAGTATTTAATTTTGAGGCTTGCATTGTATATTTTATTATTCACACAATGTTTGCAGGTACGAAGCTGTTGGCATTAGGCTAGACTCTGGAGACCTTGCATATCAATCTTGTGAAGCCAGGAAATTCTTTTGCGCTATTGAAAAAGAGTTTGGAGTGTCTGGCTTTGGAAAGATGAGCATCACAGCAAGCAATGACCTCAATGAAGAAACTCTGGATGGGCTGAATAAACAGGTAAAAGTATAAGGAATATGTCAAATATATGAGGTTTCTTTTCTTTATACGCTCTTCTTTCTAAGGAACTAAAATACGTTTAGGCTCTGCTTGTTTATAAGAAACTATTTTCATGGAAGATGTTTTTTATTCATGTTTGGCACAAGAAAACATTCTGTAGTATTTTTTCTGGAAGGGAATTATTTTCCTTAATTCTTCAAACTTTTGTGGAGAGTGACTCTGTTTAAAAACAGCAAGTCATTTTCCTGAAATTGTTTTACGTATTCTATATTTGCAGGTCAAATATAATACCATACATACCACAACTAATTTTTCACAAAATCAAACGGAGCAGTAGTTGCACTTCATCTTTATAGTTATGTATTGGCAGGGTAATTAGTTGACCTTACTCAACAGGGTCATGAAATTGATGCTTATGGTATTGGAACTCATTTGGTCACATGCTATGCACAACCAGCTCTAGGTGTTGTCTTCAAGTTGGTTGAAATAAATAATCAGCCTCGAATTAAGCTTTCCGAAGATGTAACCAAGGTTTGTAGAAATGAATGAGTAATTATCCTGTTGCACTTATCTTGTGGCTCAATATGAAAAGTTCATTTGTGGGTTGTGGCAATGCTGATTTTCTTAGGTCTCTATTCCTTGCAAAAAGCGCTGTTATAGATTGTATGGGAAGGAAGGATACCCTCTCGTGGACATAATGACTGGGGAAAACGAACCCTCTCCTAAGGTAGTGATCCGTGAAAGTATTGTTTAGAGATGCATTATTATTTGGGTTGTGTCTTATGTACACCATTTTGTACACCACACACAAACAAGTTTTTCTGATATGAGACATCGGTCTGTTTGTGAGAACAGAAAACCTTGTTTGTGTATAAAAGTGTGGTTTACTGGTTAACAAAAAGCATTTTCCTTATTATTTACCTCAGAGTAGATGGTGAAATCTTTTATCATTTCTTACTTATAATGTCACACAGGTAGGTGAACGGATCCTGTGCCGACATCCATTTAGTGAATCCAAAAGAGCTTATGTGGTACCTCAGCGTGTAGAGGAACTTTTGAAGTGTTACTGGAGTGGTTCATCGGGTGAGTTGTGGATTAAGGCTTTGTTTGGAAGCCGACAGTTGGGCATTTCTGTGCGTTTCTGAAAAATGTTGGGTAAGATGAGTTGTTTTTGTGAAACAAAGCAAAAAGGCGTGAACCAAAAAGCTTGAATATAGCTTTTTGCAATCAAGTTTTATGGCACCAAAAAGATTCCCCTAAAAAGTGGTTCACCAAATATTTCTTAAAGCTGCTTGGCCAAAGTCAAATAGCCTATCTAGTCCAAAAATTATTTTTAACAAGAAACAGCCCAAAACGTTGGTTGCCAAACAGCCCCTAATTTAGTTTTGCCTGCCTTGCACTTTTTGCAACATTAAATTTGACATTGCTCTTTTGTTTTAAAGATATAGAAAGAGAGAGTCTCCCGCCCCTAAAGCTTATCAGAGAACGTTGCGTCGAGCACTTGAGTCAAATGAGACCCGACCACATGAGAAGGTTGAACCCAACTCCTTACAAGGTATGTAAAAAAATTTATTATGTATAAACATATAATAAATTATATTAAATTGGACCACGTGTGTGTGACATTACTAGGTTGTAGTAAATTGTAATTGACTAATTGTTGTGATGTGTTTGCGCTTTTTTTTGTTGAAAAAAAAAACTGATCAGGTCAGCGTGAGTGCGAACTTGTATGATTTCATTCATTTCCTGTGGCTCAATGAAGCGCCGGTTGGAGAGTTGCAGTAGTATCAAATGCCAAAGCGCCTCCTGTTGTACGATTCCTCCATTCATTCATTCATTCGCTCACGTTATTCATTTTAGTTATACACATTAGATTTAGTAATAAATTTCCAGTCTCAAAGAATTATACATCCTTTTTGTTTATGGAATTAGTGAGATGCTTTTCACTGTAATTTTTTTTAATTTTTTCCCTCATTTGTTTATATTTCATTGATTTTGTGTGTTTACTATGGAGTACCTCGCGGTTTGCTATGATTTTAAATGGTCATGTTTGGCTATGACCTGTGAGCATATTTTTTGAGCAATATGCTCTTAGCATTTTAAGTTCTTTATTATTCCGCAAATTATACCGTACAGCCGGCTGTACGGGAAGAACTGTACAGCCGGCAAAAATTAGAGATAAAGAGCAGCGCGCGATCGAATCAAACCCTAGTGCCTCTGATCGGAAAACTAAGGTAGTGCAGAGTTGGAAGCTGGGAGCAGCTCGACGAAGGTGTTGGTGAAGATAATGGTGGAGAAGGTGGAGAAGGTGATGGTGATGTGATAGTGGGGAAGGTAATTGTATTATTTGTATACCGGATGGAAGCTATTGGTGGGGTTTATGGGAGAAGTGGCTGTAGAAATTTAGTTTGAAATAATTTAGGTTTTGGGTGAGGAAGATGAAGAAGGTGGCAGATTGATTTTAGACTAGGTGTAATGAGCGGTACTTTAATTGAGATTGAACACTACTTCATTTGAAAATGAGTATCATTTTGTTTCAGAATGAACACTATGCTATTCGTAGATGAATAATATAATTGTATGAAATAAATGTGTGAAAATGAGTACTACATTATTTCGGAATGAGTATTACGTTATTTTAAAATGAGTACTACGTTATTTCAAAATTAATAGTTCTGTTTGTATGAGAATGAATACTACTTTATTTCAAAATGAGTACCACTTGGATGTACCTATTTCTAGGTACAGCCGGTTGTACCATATAGCTTCTCTTATTATTCCGTAGATAAAATATTTGGGAATTTCTTTCTCTGCGATAGAGTTTCTGGTACTACCTCCGCTCTCGTGTATTTTTTTAGTTTGTTTTTAAGTCAAAATGAACGAACTTTGGATTTTAATTAAACAAAATTGGGATAGTTACACATTCCCTCCGTCTCGAATTGGATGCTACTGTCATTATTACGGTTTCTCAATAACTTTTGTTTAGTTGTATATTTTCATTAATAATTTGATAAAATAAAATATTATTGTCGCTTCTTGTTTTATAGAGTTTTTTTATCTACTTTTAAATGGTGTAATTTATATGTTTTATTTCTATACTAATTTGTAATGATAATGATAGAATTTTTTCAGTTTATTTGGAATGTGGTATCCAATATGGGATTACTTCTTCCATCCCAACCCGTACGAAAAGATACTCTCCCCGTCCCCAATTTGATTACAATTTTTTTTCTCTCATCTCGATAACTTTTGTTTGTTTACATGATTTCATTAAGTATTTTATAAAATAAAACATTCTTATCACTTCTTGTTTTATAGAACTTTTGACGTAGTTTTTTAACATGTAATTTTTATTTTTTATCCGATTTGTAATCAAATTGAGGACGGAGGGAGTATTTTGGTTGTCCCATCAAAAACACCCTCTAAAATTGAACAAAACAAATTCATCTTTTCAATCATTTTAACCTTCTCTTTCTACACTCTTTGTTATCTCCATTTATTTACTCCAACCTTTTCAATCACTTCTGAATTTAACCTTAACCTTCCCATGAAGTAAGAGTGTCTTTTGATGTGGAACAGAGATAATAGTTAACGGTTAGTTGTTGGTTATTTCGCGGGTATATGAGGACATTATAATGGGCATCTATGGAGCAAGGATTAATTGATTGATTGCAACGGAGCCCGTGGGACAACAGGATGGAAACTATGTGTTGTTATGGGTGGTTGGCGGCAGATATAATTAAAAAATAAGGCTAGATTAAACCTCAAATCCCCTTAAAAAACCATAATTCATGTAATGCCCAGGGTACACACATAGATAATTAATAGTTTGATACTTTTAGACGAATTTATCATGTTAATATCTCACTAGTTTGTTAAATACTCTATGTAATGTTACCTTCTTTGTTTTCAAATCATACTTCGTTTCTCCTCCTGGTTTTGAAATATTACACAAGTTCTCTTTTAGGTACAAATGGAGAAATCAAAATTAGGTTGAGAATTGATGAGTAGATATTACATTGTTATAGCTAGAGTTATATATTAGGGTCCGTTTGGTATAAGGAATTGGTGGAATTAGAATTGAATTGGAATTGAAATTCCATGGGATTCAATTTCATAGAATTGAATTCTGTCAATTTTAATTCATTTTTTGCACTATTAATTCTAAATCCACATAATTTTTGTGCTACCAAACACCAAAATTAGAATTGAAGTCCCCAATTCTAATTCCATAGTTTGAATTCCATGTACCAAACGAGACCTTAGTGTTCAAAAAGAATTTTAGAAATCAAAATATTAAATCTAGCAATATTTTCCGCCAAAAAAACAAACAAAACTAGTAGCAATCTTTTAAGAGGAATTTATTTAAATAGCACTAAAACATAATGATTTTCCCTAAATAGTCTCACATGTGCTTTTCTTTCTAATGTAGCACTTTTAGTCATTATGCATTAGTCATTATTCAAATAAATATTTGTTATCACTGGACATTATGGACATTATTAAGTGTTATTTAGAAAATAAAACAGTTTGAATACTATTTAGAGAAATGACTTAAATTTTAGTGCTATTTAGTGCAAATGTTTCATCTTTTAATACAGAGTACGGAGTAGTATTTAGTAAATTTCATCTTTTTATAATTTACTCTAGGTAGGAGATTCCACTCATGACTCCTAGAGTTCATAACTTGATTTTTTATAATATTTTAAAGTTGAGTTAGACCATTTGCTTTTTACATAAGTACTCTCTGTCCCTTCATTTTGTGAAGATTAAGGTAAATTTTAGAAGTAATTAAAAAGATAGGAAGAAAGTGTAAATTCAATTGAAAAAGTAAGGCAGAACATGAAAATTATTTTTAAAAAAGTAAAAAGAGTGTAAAAATGATTGAAAAGATAGAAAATTTTATTAAAAAAGTGGATTGTTTAAATCAATTTAAAATTGTGCCTTTTGGGTTGGGGTGCCTGATTTGGAATTTGTGTCTTTTGGCACGGGACGAAAAAAGAGTATTATTCTTTCAGTCTCTCTAGATTTGTTTACATGTTATATTCACATAATCAAATTATATTTATAAATTTTTACATATATTTATCTATAATTTGATAAAATAATACATTTGGTACATAATAAAATATCTTGTTTTGTAGATCTTTTGATATACACAATTTTTAATTATGCACTATCAATTAAATATTACTCTGTATCTTTAAATTTTACAAAAGTTTTTGAATAAGATAATACCAAAATAATATCAAGAAAGAATTATAGTCTACATTTATTTAAAAAATCAATGAGTGTGAGGGAATATTTACTCGCACCGCTCCTAAAAACTATTCGTGTTTTGATTTTTTAATCAAATAGTGACACTCTTTAATTACAAATTAAACATAATCTAAATAAATAAATGTTATAAAAATTTGATGTATCAAAACAAAATAATCGAATAAATCCAACTATATTAAAATTATATTATAATTCAATATACTTTTTTCACAATTTCTGATAAATTTTATTAAATCTTTAACAAAACAATAAAACATAAAGAGTGTTAGAGTGCATCCCACATCGAAAGTCCAAGAGTAAAATAATCTGGTATATAAGCTCTTGAGTTAAACTAACTAATCGATTGGATTCAATCTTTTAATGTGGTTCAGCCCAAGCGTCTTATTACCCAATCGAGTTGTCCATACCCATCCCAAATTCTATCATGGTATCGGAGCAGGTTTTGGCCCACCTCGTTTTTCAAGGTGTCCGTCTAGATGTTCATTCCTAGCGGCCCGTTAGTCTTTAGCCTAGTTGTCTGTATGGAGTATGTATCCAACGGCCTATGGCCCGGTTGTCCACTTGAGGGGGAGTCAGTGGCGGATCCAGAAACTTTGACAGTAGGGGGCGCCAAACAAGGGTTTGGGGGGCAGCACCTCCAGATTTTTTTTAATTCAAACAATTCAAAAGATTAAAAATTAATGAATTTAACCTCAAAAAATTATCGAAATAGTGAATTAAAAAGTTTAAAGAATAAAATTTATATATATGGATTGCATTATAACTTAGTTTAATTATTATATATTTTTAGTGTTTCACTTTCAATTTTATTTTTGTGATTTTTAAAAATTTGACTTTAAGATTATACTCTTTTAATAATTAAATATTTAACTTTTTTCATTTTTTCTCACTTAACACTATCTATTGAAGTCTCTAATACTTTTAATTGGGGTCTCTAATATTTTTAATTGGGGTCATAAATAATATATCTCTAAAAACATTAAAAAATCGAACTAAAAAATTAGATATATATAAAAAGTAGTAGGGGGCATGTGACCCCAACACATACAAGGTGCATCCGCCCCTGGGGGGAGTGTTAGAGTGCATCCTACATCGAAAGTCCAAGAGTAAAATAATCAGTATATAAGCTCTTGAATTAAACTAACTAATCAATTGGATTCAATCTTTTAATGTGGTTCAGTCCAAGTGTCTTATTAATCAATCGGGTTGTCCATACCCATTCCAAATTCTATCATTTTTAAGAGTGAAGGTAAATAGGTAATACTTAAATTGCAATATTGCCCTAATTGAATCACCACTTTTTCATATCCCGGGAACATAGTACATGCACAAAGGTCAAACGCCGTTAAAACATAATCATGGTTATCAACACAAGGCATACTTAAGCATGATTATTACTTCAGACCAAATATGCTTCATTCGTTATATTTTTCGGGGTTAGAAAAAAAACGAGACAGCGAAACATGATCATGCCTTTACACATTCAAACACTAGCTAGTCTTTCATTTTTCAGTCCTTGAATGGAATATATGTTTCATACGGAGTATATAGTTTCAAGAAATATACCCTATGACTATGAAAGATACAGTAGAACGAAAGAAATACATATTCTCTCTGTCCCCAATTTGATTACAAATTATGTTTTACAAAGAGAAATATTTCACTTTTTGAAATTGTTTATTTACAAATTGGTATATCGATAAGAAATAAAAGTTACATATTAAAAAACTAAATAAAAATTTTACAAAACAAGAGGTGATA